TATTCGGTGAAGATACCTAGTCGGGTTACTGGAGCTCCGCTATATATGCATTCAATATAGTGGTTTTATTAAGTCCTCTAGAGTCAGTACAAGGCTTTAAATCACCCTTTTTCATGGAAACAAAAAAGAAACCTGCACCTACAGGAGAAGAAGATCTATGTATGAACCAAGGAGGTGCTGTACCATATAGGAAATTTATGGAGCAGTGATAGGGTCTATGAGGTGGCAACTTATTGGCCTCTTTTTTGTTAAACACTGATTTGATATGCAGGTATTGGGGAGGTGCCTCTGTATATAACGGGGTAGCAGTAGGTACATTTATAGAATGCGAAGGAGTTATCTTGAAAATAAACCTTTCCTGACAATGAGAACTCCAAGAGATATTTTGACCCAGCTTTCAATCAAAATGAAGAGGTAACCAGGCAGCTCCAGAACCAATAAGAGCTTCAATATTTATAGATTTTTTTTTCCATTTCAAGGTAATAGAAATCGATTCTGAGGCAGGAAAGGGACTTTAGATTTCACACCCAAAGCCGGTACCCTGAGCGAACTTAGAATTTTCTGTACAAACCGAACAATTAACCCTGAGATGTCTTTTTCCACAGTATAAGCCCCTTCTTTTTCCTATATTGTTTTTCTGCTTCAGATAGTTGCGTTGCCCCTAACTACATTGCTTCAGTGTCTGATGATGTAGGGGAATTAGGAGCAGCGACCCTGGGTGTGACAGTTAAAGCACAGCATCTTGATTTATTCCTATAAAGCTGACTTTCTCTCAAGCGATTACATGTCCCCTCTCAGTCCCTACTGGGCTGCTCTACCATCAAATTATTGGGAAGAATTATTTTCTCAGTCCGGACTTGCTCTCACTCAATGTGTATGTGACAATTTGCACTATATTGATATAGCTAAAGTGAAAGGAGATCTTCCACTTTAGCCACATTGAAAAGTCTGGATGTAACAGCAGACATGCTGGGAACCCTGGAGACATAGGCCCAGCATTCCACATTTTTTTTTGTAGTAATTCATAATTTTTTTTTAAGAAGGAATCAAACAGAAGCAACAATAAACACAATGTACATAACTGATGCAAATATTGCACGTGGTACAATACTGGAGTCCAAAGGTAGCAGACCAAACAAATAGGCAATCATACATACACAATGGTAAATATAGCAACCAGGCTCAACAAGTTGTAAAAGATTCCTATCTCCACAAGTTATTTAAGTGTATTATGAGTACATACGTGATAGATAGAAATAGCAAGAGAGAGCATTTTTTCAGGCCTCAACATGAAAGTCATCCTACAAAGTATGATAATCATGAAACATACTTTGGATAGGATTTCACATTTCTGTCTTGTCTATCTTTATTTCTGCTTGTTTAATACAGAATAGAAGCCAACTTCAAATCATCATGGAATTAACCATAAACGTATACAAAAATTAAGATGTATACCAGTATGTATGGAAAGAGGGATTTAATTAAAAAGAAAGCTAGTAGTACAGTGCTATGGAATTTGCTGGTGCTTTATAAATAATAAAATAATAGTAATAGCAATTAAAAATATTCTGCAAGAAGAAATGTTAGCTCGTAAAGCAACAACCATTCTACATTTTAAAGGATCTCTCCAACCCTTTTTTGCTTTTATATGAATAATGCCCCATTGAAATTATTCCTCAGGTCCACCAAAAAGAAACCCTGAAAAAAGGGTTTAAAATTAAGATATTACTTTACTGAGCGACGCTCCCGGCGGTGTTTGGCACACCACCATCTGACGTTAAGGGAGGCACACCGATGTCTAATCAGAGATAGTGATGTGGCGAACCGTTCGCGAACTTCCCGCGAACGGCTCGCCGCGCTCCGGTCAACTGACACATCCCGGCCAATCTCCAGCAGACCCTCCCTCCCAGACCCTCCCACCTCCTGGACAGCATCCATGTCGAAGGAAGTTTGCGAACGGTTCGCAACATCACTAATCAGAGGCTTCTCATAGAGAAGCCTTTGATAGCAGGATTTGAGGGGCTAAGACTGCATGCGCGAGCACCAAGCCAGCAAGGAGAGGGTAAAAGAGAGAGAGAGGGAGGGAAAAGAAGAGGATGAATAAAAAACAAAAAATACCAGCGGAGGTGATGGGGAGACAGGGAGGCCTACAATCAGTGCGCTCTGCTTGCATGAGAGAAGCTTTTGTCTGTCGGCAGCATGCAGTGTGCGCTGACAGATGTAAAATATGCACAGAATTGATATTAGGAACTGCAGAACAGAGTGTAACCAGTCCCCGTCACATAATTAAAAATAACAAAAATAATAGTAAAAAACACAATTTAAAAAATACAGTGCCAAAACTAAACAATTAAAGTGATAGTGCTTAATGTATATATTCACAATGCATATAAAATATCTGCTCTATATCAAAGAAAAAATATTATGAAGTGACATTGCTATCCATAACCTCCCCAAATTTATACTTTCCTGTGGTCACTTCCAAAGGGGCATCTTAAACTGAGGGGTGGGTGGTGTGCTCAGTCCAAAAGGAATCTAGTCTGGACTACAAAAAAGGGATTGAAAAAAAACAAAATTGGTGGCACGTCAAGAACATGTATTTCTCAGCAGTGGTTTTGCCATAGAGACAAAAATGTGTGCCTCGTATATTAATTGAATGCATTTTAGTTCATTAGGCACTATTTAATTTGTCTCCAATGTTAAAATTAGTGTAGGACCCACAGATACTGGGGTTCTGTGGCGTAGTAGTGATCGTAACATGACATGGCCATATGGTGGAACTGAATTCCCATATTTGTTTGCTGAGATAGGTGATTTTAAGTATCCTTGTAAAATTTTAAACTTTGTTTTTTTGTGTGTGAGCTGTACCTTTATCTGTATTTTCTATAAATTCTGGTCTTTACGGCAGTACCACAGCTGAAAAATGCAGTGTTCCGGATGTGCTAACAATTCCTTTTTTTATCTACATGGCAGGGATGATATGTGCACAGAAGTGCTTCTGCTAGTTAAACTCTGCTATTTCAATGAGATGGTCTCATATAGAACATTTGAATGGCGCAGTGTGGCGTGTTGCTGCATATGCGCACTACTTTTCAAATGTTTCAGCAAAGGAAGCAGGGCTGGCCCAGCACCGTGGAGAGGGAGAAAAGGTAAGTAAATTGACTCTTCACTTCACACAGGAGGAGGGCGTTGTAACGGATCACCTGGCACCCCGACTGGATACCTCCGTTGAAGGCTGCTCCTAGCGCTTCCTGAGGACTCCAAGCACTGCAGCAGACACCACAACCACCGAACCGGAGAAGCATGCAAATGCTCTCATGTATATGAATGCTGTAAGCAGCTGAACATGAAAAGCATACAATCAGCTTACACTCCTGGCAATCAGCATACAATCCAACTCCCCCAATAACGAGACGACACTTCGTTTTGAGGTCAAGCAGAACTGACTGTACTGGCACATACAACCTCTTTTATTCACAATCCACAAACATAGTACTGCCCACAGGGTTTTGAAATACAACCAATCAATCCGTACAATACACACAGACACTCCCACACAAAATCCTCCCCTCTGCCTGTGATATGAATACTGAACAAAATGATTAATATAATTATCACAGGCAGAGAAATACAATATTATAAAATATATCACAGGGACCCCAAAACATGCAATATCCCCATCAGAACCGGGGAAGATACAGTTTAATACAGATTCCCTAGAACATATACAGGCTATATGAAAAATAATTACTGTATAATGTGTCCCCTGTTCTATAGTTTAAAACTACTGCACGATGTCTTTGTGCACCAAATACCGGCGAGATGGCACCGTGTAGAAAAGTCCAAACAGTGTCTGTGAGATAAAATGGCCGCCACCCATTGTTCTCACCATGTGCTTCATCCATTGTTCTCACCATGTGCTTCATCCATTGTTCTCACCATGAGCCTCTGATACATGAAATGGTGGCCACCAGTAACTCCACAGTATGTCCCCAGATGGTTCTTAAAGGGCCAGCAGCATAATAAAATCAAGTATGTCCACATCAGTTCCTAGAAGGGCAATACATCCCAGGGCCATAGTCGCAGGGCAGGAGGCTGGCAAACAGGCCCCTCCAAAAGCCAGTGGCGAGGTTACTTTCGCCACAGGGGTTAACCTAAATAGTGAGCAGATCACTATAGCGTTTGAAATACATGCAGGGCCGGCGCAACTGTTACGCGAACTAGGCATTTGCCTAGGGCACTGGCCTGCTGGGGGAGCCCACCGGGATATTTCCTGGTGGGCTCCCCCTGTCCTGGGCCGCAGTGCTGGGCGAGCGGCTCTAGAGCCGCCCCCCTTTGTGCCGGGCCGATCCTCCAGGCGCACGAAGATGGGGGTGCCCCCGAAGCTGTCCTTCAGTATGGCACAGCAGGCACCTGCTTACCCTGATGGCAGGTGCCTGCTCTGCCAATGAATGCCGGAGGAGAGGAGGTAGGCGATGGCAGTGTGGGTGGCGAGGGAGGCTCTTCTTGCAGCTCCCCACTCAGTGGCGTACATTCCGGGGTCGCAGGGGTCGCGGCTGCGACCGGGCCCGGCCCACCAGGGGGCCCGGCCGCCCTGCGACCCGGTATGTATGCCACTGTGGCCAGCCTCTTCCCCTGGGGGGCCCAGAAGCCGGCCACCTCAGGGCCCCCCGAGGCTGGCCCTGATATCACCGGGCGGGCAGGCAATCTGGTGGGTGCGCAAGGCAGCACTCTCCCCTGAGTGCTTCCTCTTCAGCTCCCTCGTGCACCGCACTGATACCGGAGCCGGAAGATGACGTCATCTTCCGGCGCCGGCATCCCTACGTGGCGCGCGAGGGAGCTGAAGAGGAAGCACTCAGGGGAGAGTGCTCCCTTGCGCGCCCGCCAGACTGCCTGCCCGCCCGCCCGGTGATACCACTAGACCCCAGGGAATCCCCTCAGCTCTCCAAAAGGTAAGGAGGCTGGGGTATTAAATAAAAAAAAAAAAAAGTGAGTGTGTTAGTGTGCGTGTGTTAGTGTTAGAGTGTGTGTGTTAGTGTGTGTGTGTTAATGTTAGTGTGTGTATGTGTTAGTGTGTTAGAGTGTTAGTCTGTGTGTTAGTGTGTGTGTGTGTTAGAGTGTCAGTGAGTGTGTTACTGTGTGTGTCTGTTACTGAGTGTGTTAGATTGTGTGCGTCTGTAAGTGAGTGTGTATGTGTATGTGTCTGTCTGTCAGTGATTGTGTATGTATGTCTGTCACTGAGTGTGTGTCTGTCAGTAAATGTGTGTGTCTGTTAGCTAGTGTGTATGCGTCTGTTCGTGAGAGTGTGTGTATCTGTTAGCTACTGTGTATGCGTCTGTTCATGAGATTGTGTGTCTTAAAGGACCACTATAGTGCCAGGAAAACATACTCGTTTTCCTGGCACTATAGTGCCCTGAGGGTGCCCCCACCCTCATCGTCCCCCTCCCGCCCAGCTCTGGAAGGGGGAAAGGGGTAAAAACTTACCTTTTTCCAGCGCTGGGCGGAGAGCTCTCCTCCTTCTCTCCTCCTCCGTTACGCCCCGTCGGCTGAATGCGCACGCGCGGCAAGAGCTGCGCGCGCATTCAGCCGGTCGCATAGGAAAGCATTTAGAATGCTTTCCCATGGACGCTGGCGTGCTCTCACTGTGAAAATCACAGTGAGAAGCACGCAAGCGCCTCTAGAGGATTAGGGGGAAGGCTTAACCCATTCATAAACATAGCAGTTTTTCTGAAACTGCTATGTTTATAAAAAAATGGGTTAACCCTAGAAGGACCTGGCACCCAGACCACTTCATTAAGCTGAAGTGGTCTGGGTGCCTAGAGTGGTCCTTTAAGCACTTACCTTTCTCCAGCGCCGGACTCCCTTGGCGCTGGGGATCTCTCCACCCCGATCCGCCTCTCAGCTCCGAATGTGCATGCGTGGCAAGAGCCACGCACGCATTCAAACCGCCCATAGGAAAGCATTACTCAATGCTTTCCTGTGGATGCTCAGCGTCTTCTCACTGTGATTTTCACAGTGAGAATCGCAGAAGCTCCTCTAGCGGCTGTCAATGAGACAGCCACTAGAGGCTGGATTAACCCTCAGTGAAACATAGCAGTTTCTCTGAAACTGCTATGTTTTCAGCTGCAGGGTTAAAACTAGAGGGACCAGGCACCCAGAACACTTCATTGAGATGATGTGATCTGGGTGTCTGTATTGGTCCTTTAAGTGTATGTGTATCTGCATGCACAGGCGTACATACCCGCCGCCATGTGTTGCGGCCCCAGCCCGCACAGAGTAAGCGTGCGGGGGGGGCCCACGGATCAGTTTTCGCACCGGGGCCCCATGGGTTGTGTGTACGCCACTGTCCCCACTCCTCCCTCACGCGCCATCTATGATGCCGGGAGCTGGGATAAGACGTCATACCGGCCCTTGCATACTAAACAGCGCGCTGGAGGAGTGATGAGCTGCCCCACACTGGACCCCAGGGAAGTAGGGAGACTGGAAGTCTGAGTCTGTGTGTCAGTGAGTGTGTGTATTTGACTTTCAGTGAGTGTGTCTGTCAATGAGTGTCTGCCTGTGTGTGTGTGTGTGTGTCTGTCAGTGAGTGAGTGTATGTATGTCAGTGAGTGAGTGTATCTATGTCTGTCAGTGAGTGTCTGTGTGTGTGTGTGTGTGTGTGTCTGTCAGTGAGTGAGTGTATGTATATCAGTGAGTGTCTGTATGTCTGTCAGTGAGTAAGTGTATGTCTGTCAGTGAGTGTCTGTGTGTGTGTGTCAGTCAGTGAATGTGTCTGTCGAGTGTCTGTGTGTCTGTTAGTAAATGAGTGTGTGTCAGTGAGTGAGTGTATGTCTGTCAGTGAGTGTGTGTCTGTATGTTTGTCAGTGTCTGTGTGTGTTTGTGTGTGTCATTGAGTGACTGTATGTCTGTCAGTGAGTGTGTGTCTGTGTGTCTGCCAGTGTGTGTCTCTTAGTGAGTGAGAGACGAGGGGGCGGCAAAATGTATCTTTGCCTAGGGCGGCAGAAATCCTTGCACGGGCCCTGAATGCATGAAAGTGACAGTGAAAATTCTATGGGAGTACACAAATTGAGAATGAGAGGGAGTAATTAAAGTGTCAGTGACGAGGGATATGTATTTGGAATAGAAATGCAGAGGAAGGGAAATATTTTAATTAAAGATCAGATAGAGTACATGAAATGTTAAAGGACCACTATAGTGCCAGGAAAACATACTCGTTTTCCTGGCACTATAGTGCCCTGAGGGTGCCTCTAGGGGGTTGAAGGGGTTAAACTTACCTCTTTCTCCAGTGCCGGGCGGGGAACTCTCCTCCTTCTCTATAGCGACGTCATCGGCTGAATGTGCATGCGCGGCAGGAGCCACGTGCATTCAGCCAGTCCAGAGGAAAGCATTCTCAATGCTTTCCTATGGACACTGGTGTCTTCTCACTGTGAAAATCACAGTGAGAAGCGCGGAAGCGCCTCTAGCGGCTGTCAATGAGACAGCCACTAGAGGCTGGATTAACCCTATTATAAACATAGCAGTTTCTCTGAAACTGCTATGTTTATAGAAGAAAGGGTTAATCTTAGCTGGACCTGGCACCCAGACCACTTCATTAAGCTGAAGTGGTCTGGGTGCCTATAGTGGTCCTTTAAATATTGTAACATGTATGAAATGTGGATATTGAAGGTAAGGACGTAAAAATTTATTTTATTGCACCTCCCAAATGTCTCTATTATGAGCCCAAATCCCTCTGCCACACTTTTCTATCCTAATGATAGGCTCAAGTTGGTTTCTTATACAGCCAGTTTCTTATTTAGTTTCTGATTTGGATCATGAATGGCAATTAACCCTTTCAAAAAATAGGTTATTGATTCAAAATAATGAAAAAAAGCACCCATGGCACGGGTGACATGTTTATTCATGCCCTAATCGCCATTGGAGCAGGCTTAGGACAATAGTGTTAAATCAACTGCATCCTTTTCTATGTAAATCCATGTTAACATCAGTGGCACAATGGCAGTTATAGCTTTGAAATTTCCAGTTACCTATTCAAAATTATGAACACAGCATCAATGGCTTGCTTCACAAAGTTTTTCATGTCAAATTTGTTTTTTGGGGGGCTAAAATCAATAGTGTTTAAATAAGGGCATTCTACTCGGTGTAAATCCATATTGAAATTAGTGGCCCAATGGCAAGTAACCCTTTGGTTCATTAGCTATGGTTTGACCATGGCTTACTGCACAAAATAGTATTATGCCAACAATGATATTACATAATTGTATGTCTGGAGTTTATCTGGTCACATATCACCGACTTAGCGCTTGGAATGCCAGTCAGCTAACCTTACCAATGTGTTTAGAAATCAGTCTGTGTAAATAAGATACTTGTTATGTTTTTTTAGTAGTAAGTAACCTAACATTTCTCAGAACAGTCCTGACTCAGGTTACACCCCCACTCACACCCCTAAAATTAAAGTGTCCCTATCGTCCATTTGAAAAGTTGGAGGGGAAACGCAATACGCTAGAAGAAAATCTCTCATGTGTGCATATATAACATGAGCTGCCATTAGCTCAGTTTGACAGGTCATATTTTAGAATCCCAGGTGGCAACAGGGACGTATTAGCCGCGAGGCAAACAAGGCATTTGCCTTGGGCGGCATTTTTCAGGGGGCGGCAAAAAACGCCGCCCCCCAAATGCCCAGGGCAAATGCCTAGTTAGCCTTGCGGCTAACTGACATCCCGAGCGGGCGGGCGGCTCTGGCTGCTGTGCGGGCGGCTGGAGAGGGAGCACCTCCTCTGAGCTGACTGCTCAGCTCCCTCGCGCGCCGGCTGCAGAGTGAGGCTGGGAGCCGGAAGATGACGTCATCTTCCGGCTCCCAGCCTCACTCTGCAGCCGGCGCGCAAAGGAGCTGAGCAGTCAGCTCAGAGGAGGTGTTCCCTCTCCAGCCGCCCGCACAGCAGCCAGAGCCGCCCAGCCCGACCGGCAGCCACTGGACCACCAGGGAGAGAGAGACCTCCCCCAGCACTCCCAAAGGTAAGGAGGTTGGGGGGGGATTTAAATTTAAAAAAAAAAAAGTTACTGTGTGTGTGTTTGTGTCTGACTGTGTGTGTGTCTGACTGTGTTTGTGTCTGACTGTGTTTGTGTGTGTGTTTGTGTCTGACTGTGTGTGTGTCTGACTGTGTATGTGTGTATGTGTGTGTGTTTGTGTCTGACTGTGTTTGTGTGTGTGTCTGTGTGTGTGTATGTGTCTGACTGTGTGTGTGTGTGTGTATTTAGAAGGTTGGGTGGGGGTGGCGCAGGGGGAGGGGGGCGCCTGAGTTTTGTCCTGCCTAGGGCAGCACAAAACCAGGATACACCACTGGGTGGCAATACCATCCGTGCAATTATTCTCTGTAATAAAGTACCGTTTTCATTTGTGCAGTTTAAAACCCTAACCTCATGCATACAGGTCTCAGTGCTGCCTAAGATTAATGGGAGTTACACGTCAAAGCGGCATTTGCTGTTATTTAGCTTGTGAGCATGCGGGAGTAACGTGTAAAAAGCAGCCACCCGAGCCTATAATGCCCATTAAACTCCCATTGTACAGCACTACTGAATTTGCTGGCGCTATATAAATAAAATAATAAAAACTCATTCAACACTGGAACAGTAAATAAATTACCAAAGTTTTAGTGTTAAACCTTTGTTAAAAAAAAAAATATCAGGATGACTAGAGACAGATATATAGATATATAGTGAGATAGATCTAGATCAGGCTTCCCCAAACACCGGCCCTCCAGATGTTGCTGAACTACAAATCCCATGATTCTATTGATAAAATAGATAGGCTGAGCATCATGGGAGTTGTAGTTAAGCAACATCTGAAGGGCCGGAGTTTGGGGAAGCCTGATCTAGACAGATAACATGCATTAATTGATTAATAAAAGTGAATTTCTATAGTCTATTCAGATCACAAGGGCAGAGTTTCCACTAGAGGAACTTTGTCCAAGCCATGATTATTTTCTCCTCAGAAACAATGCTGTTACAATGATACTGCATAGCTAGCTGCCAATTAGCAGATATTTTCCTTTCGTTCTTTCACTAAAAGGCTTCCCCGTCGCTATAAGCCGAATTTACATCACAAACAGTTTTGTTTTATTTGGTCTCTTTCCTCATTCACTAGGCCTGAACTGACAGGCACTACATCCCCCAGCAGCCCCTGCGGCTCCCCGGCCCACCCCTTTTGAAGGGAGGCAATTTGGGCGCGAGTGGGCGGTGGCGGGAGTCGTCGCAAGCGGAGGGGCCGCGCACGCCAAGACTTGGTGCTGGGTAAGTCCTCTCCTCTAGTAAAGCCATTAATAAATCCCGGTAGGCCCGGCCGGCTCGGATCGAGCCCCGGGAGGCGATGCGGCTCAGCCCTCCATTCAGTGAGCTCGGTATAACGTGCCGGGCCTGTCCGAGGAGCTGTGTGATGGGAGAGCCGATGCGCCGGGCTACGTTTCGGCCTCACTCCTGTTAGTCCCCCAATAAAGAGCCTCCGCTGTGGTAACTCGGTGGTTATTTTATATTGGAGCAACTGACGGTAGTTCTGCCGTTTAATGGGAAAACACATTACCCGGAGCTGCCCTGCCAGTGAAAGCATGTCCTGTGTGTGCAGAAGGCGCGCTGTGTCAGTGAGTGTGAGTGAGTGTCTTTATTTTGGGGGTTTGAAAAGGCTACTTGTAAAAAAATTTTTTTTTTTTTTTTTCCTTATAGGGGGGTGAGCCCCACCCACGTGTCATGTAATGAAGAGAGGCTCAGTGCTACAGGTCTGCCTTGATATTTATAGAACAAGTCCTCTGTGGCAGCCCTCACCACGCGTTTTAGGTTTGAATGACAAATCTGCTTGTTGTCCCATGCTTGCAATAAATACTGCTTGGTCAGACAGCAGGGGGCCCGTCCAGAGGTGTGCATAGTAACCACACCGGGCCTTTTGTTTCATGAAAGTAAAAGCTTTCTAGAATATGCATGTCAACTATGTAGGAGTTTCTTTGAAATAAAAAAAAAAAATCAAGGAAAAAGTAGGAACTTTGGGCAATGCCAAAGTTAAAAAAAGGCTGAGATGAGTTGAATTCTCAGAAGTCCTCATACATGCATTAACCTGGCCCTTGCATGCACTGCAAACTTGGCTGCATTGCTCCTCTTGAACCCTGGAGCTTTTGCCGACGTTGCTACTATAACTGCGCTTGTGCGTAGAGTACAGCATTGAGGTCCATACACCGCCACTTCCCTGCAGCCATCCCAGGTGACAGCTGCAGGTCTTGACTTATAGGCTCTGCCTTGTCAGGTGGATGAGAAATACAGAGAAGTAGTCTTTGTCTCTGTATATCTCTTGAATGGGTTGGAATTTCAGTGTAACGCATTATTTTAATATGGGGTGACAGTGCTGCTTTAAAGCAGACTTGTGTGTTTTTTGTTGTTTTTTTTTTTCACTCTTAGTTTGCCTACCCTAAGACAGTCTTATGATCTGAAAATGGCTGGCGGGCCTCTATTTTAATTGATGTTAATAGATTTAAATAAGATTTCCTTAACTTTTGTCCCATGTTGCCCTGGTCTACCACAGCTATTCCTCAGCCCAGTCCAGAAGCATTGTGGACACTACTGACCATGTAATTGCCACACTGCGCCAATCAGCATCTTCTCATTGAGCAGAATTACCCCAATGCATATCTCTGGGAAAGTGTTGAGCATCTTTGTGCAGGTAAAGCGCCCAATGTAGGTCCTAAAGAGTATGCAGGACTATAAAAGTCCATCAATCTAGTTACTGTATGAGTGACAGCCATTACAGGTGTTCTTAGGGAGCTTTGTAAAACTTATTTTTAAAGCGGCACTATAACTCTCCACCCACCCCTGAAAAATTTGTATTTTATCATGAGAGAATCTCTTTGAAATAATCATTTTGACTGCATTAAAATTTCACTTAAATTCCAACCCAGTCAAGAGCTATAGTGAGACAAATTAGGGACTACTTTGTCTCAGTATATTTCCTCTGTCTGACTTTCATAGACTCTAGACTGAGCCACACCATTCATCCTGACAGCTGTCATCAATGACAGCTGCGTGGAATTGGCTCAGTTTGTAGAGGGTCCTGTAGAATCCTCCATAGACCTCAGTGCTGTACTCTTGCGCATGCTTAAAAGAAAATACAGCTTACTTTAAAGCTATCACTATAGTGTCTGGAAAACAAACCGTTTTCCTGACACTATAGTGCCCTAAGGGTGTCCCCCTTCAGCCACTTACCTTAATCCTCTGCGCTGGTGACCTCTCCTCCCCCGCCAACGTCAGCTCCCGAGTGGAGCTGAATGTGCATGTGCGGCAAGTGCCGCGCATGCATTCAAACCGTCCGTAGGAAAGCATTTCTCAATGCTTTACTATGGACGTTCTGGATGCGAATTTCTCTGAAACTGCCAAGTTTACATCTGAAGGGTTAAAACCTGAGGGACCTGGCACCCAGACCACTTCATTAAGCTGAAGTGGTTTAAAATGTCTTATTCAGTGATCTAATTTTCAGACCAGGTGGTTATGGTGCTTACACTGCCCCTTTTAAAGGAACACTAAACCCTAGGAATGCAAACCTATAATCCTAACGCTATGTAGATTTAGACCTATTTAAAACTAAAAAAAGTGGCTTTTCTTTAGCACCTAGACTTTCTTGGCACTACTGTTTGCTGCTCTTCCCGCAATGTCATTCTGGATGGTGCTAGTCTAACCCAATGCTTCTCCTGTATTGTGGACCGAAGACATGTGCAAGGCAGTTGCCACGATCGCCATCACTATCAAAATTTTTGTCATAGAGAATCACTGCATGTGAATGACACTGCGCATGTGTGTAGGACTGGGTATGAGAGCTGGGAAGTAACAGTCCTACCTCTGCAATTGAGTGGGCTTGGCCTCAAACTAGTGAAATACATTGTTGCAGAACAGGAGTGGTAGGAGGAAATAATTTAAGGCACTCTAACAACTTAAAGGCACATTGTATTCACTAGAACTACTACAGCTTAATGTAATTGTTCTGGTGAGTATAATCATTCCCGGCAGGCATCTTCATGTAAACACTGTGTTTTCAGAGAAAAGGCAGTGTTTACATGTACCCCTAGGGACACCTCAGATGGCCACTGGGGATGGTGTCGTTCAGCGTCTCCACGCTCTTAATTTTCTTCATAGATGGAATGACTCAGTACGCACATTCAGGTGCAACTATCTTCAAAAAACTTGTCTTCAGGGCATGTGGGTAGTCAAATCTACTTGTCCATCTTAAATAATATTGTCCTGAGTAAAGTACAGGGTGTCAATGTTTCCAGATCTTCAGAGTAGCTTCAGTGTTTATAGCTGTAGTTATAGCCTTTCCCATCCATACATTAGAGAGTTTTAATGCTGGGAGTAGAACAAATTTGTCACATGTCACCTTTTATACCGAAGGTCTCAACAGGAGGATCCCAGGGGAAAACAATAGATTTGCAACATCCCTGGCGCCTTGGTGTCTGTACCTGAGCAGATACTTTAATTAGCAGCCAGACACCTTGACACTTGGGCACAAAACATAAATGATTCTTTTGCCCACATCCAGTTGTCCTCAGGAAGTGTGTGTGTACGCCCACCTGGTCACCCAAAATAGCAGCGCTTCTTGTAATCTGGCGTAGCTCCTGCAAGTCCATGGTAATTTTAAATACCACACCCAATTTCTATCACCCCTTCAAAAAGCACCCTGCTAGGTAGTGTTGGGAACAAGAGCGCTCTGTTTATAGTTTTATCGGATCTGAGATAGAGTTCAAGGGGGGTTAAGTGGTTGCTCCCGGTCAGGCATACCTTGTTTCTGGAGCCCTCCTGCAACTCTCCTGGAGAGCCGCTGGGACGGGTGCTGGATGGCCGGCACAGCCAGCTCTTCTTGGGGGTGAGGTGAGGAGCTGCCAAGTATTTTTTTGCGGGGAGCTGGAGTTGAAGTGACATATTTTAGCTGATGGCATCCCTAAACAGAGGGAGCAGAGCAAGATTACTGCTCTATCAGCTGACCGCCCTGCTGAAGGGCTGACAAACACTCAGGTGCCAGGACAGGTCTTCTCTACTCCTGGGCACCACCAAAGACTCCTGGTAACGTTTAAGTATTTTCAAAGAATGCAAAGACACTAAAAATTGTCTACTTTAAATCATGTATGGAGTGACATCTGTGTTCACTTATAACAGAAACTGCCTCAAGGTTCTGCTTGCTTGCTTTGTCATCTTAAATGACCAATATAGTGCCCTGAGGGTGCCCCCACCCTCAGGGACCCCCTCCCGCCGGGCTCTGGGGTGAGGAAGGGGTTAAACTTATCTCTTTCTCCAGCGCCGGGCGGGGAGCTCTCCTCCTCTTCGGCTGAATGCGCGTGCGCGGCAGGAGCTGCGTGCGCATTCAGCCAGTCTCATAGGAAAGCATTCATAATGCTTTCATATGGACACTGGCGTCTTCACTGTGCTTTTTCACAGTGAGAAGCACGCAAACGCCTCTAGCGGCTGTCAATGAGACAGCCACTAGAGGCTGGATTAACCTATTTATAAACATAGTTTCTCTGAAAAGGGGTTAATCCTAGCTTGACCAGGCACCCAGACCACTTCATTAAGCTGAAGTGGTCTGGGTGCCTATAGTGGTCCTTTAATTTATAGCATAGAGATCAAACTCTTGTGCCAGAATAAAAAGGGTTTCCACATGCTTCTTCTGCCACTGGAACAACACAGATGTTGTTACCTTGCTGATCATGGGAGATTTACCCCTTAAGGACAAAGGCTATTTTGAGATGCAATGCATTTGTGACCAAGGCTTATTTGGCACTTTTGCCATTCATTCTTCCACAATTTCATCCTTTCTGGTTAAGTGCACCCATACATATTTGAGAGATGCAGGGCTTTCTTTTGATACCCTATGTGTACAATGTTAAATAGGAATAAAATATATTAAAAAAACTTTTACGGGTTACATTTTTAATGGGCCACTTTAGTTACAAGAACCACTACAGCTTAATGTAGTGATTTTGTTATTTACTTGTAAATGCCTGCAGGGGCATGCTATAAACGCTACCTAGTTACAGAAAAGGTGACGTTACACCTACCTCATAGATTTGTAAGCCCTCTTCATATCATTTTACTAGAATTGTAAATTATAAATGTTGCTAATACCCGTGATAGAGCTCCTTGTCGCCTGGCTGGATACCTCCACCAAGCTTGCTTTCTAGTAGCCACAGGGGAAAATTTGGAACGCTTCTGCCCCAGTCGCGGCAGCTTGACTGTGGTCTTTCAGGAGCTCTTCCACTCAGGGGCGTTTTAGCCGTGAGGCAAACAAGGCATTTGCCTTGGGCGGCATTGTTCAGGGGGCGGCAAAAAACGCCGCCCCCCCCCCCCCAATGCCCTGGGCAAATGCCTAGTTAGCCTCACGGCTAACTGACATGCCGGTCGGGCATCTTCCGGCTCCCATCCTCACTCTGCGGCGCGTGAGGGAGCTCAGCAGACCGCTCAGAGGAAGTGCTCCCTCGCCAGCCACCCGCACAGCAGCCAGTGCTGCCCAGCCCGACCGGCAGCCACTGGACCACCGGGGAGAGGGGGGGGGGGGGGGTAAATTAAAAAAAAAAAAAGTTAATGTGTGTGTGTATGTATTTGTATTTAGAAGGTGGCGTGGGGGGAGGGTGGCGCCTGAGTTTTGTCCTGCCTAGGGCAGCACAAAACCAGGATACACCACAGCTTCCACTCTGAAACAGGGTATTGTGATTATAGCTACAATGTGGATAGACTCTCTCTTGCAGAATGTATAGTTGTCTTACTCTCACACACTAGCCGAGACTTGGTGAAGGGTGAAGTAGAACTGACTTTATTGAACACAACATAGGTATTCATATTCACATTCTCCACAGGAGGTAATCATTAAAAACAATATTAGTTCCTACCCAGAGTCTTGGTGTGCAGGATGGAATTAGTCACCATAATTTAACTACATGCAGGACACTGAGATGTGTTGAATAAGGGTTTCACAACCTTACATAAAACTATAACTTCTACTGTTTTACATTTTATACAATAACTCAACAATAACATCATCACATGCTATATCTTTCGAAAAGCCCTTGACAGGGTGCCCATATTGTCCAAATAGTGCTCTGATTGGTGAATCTGCGCCTGAGTTATAGCCTATTAACCGGGCTCGACAAATCACGGGGGGGGGGGGGCGACTAAGAATTTTTTCATGGCACCATGGATTTGTCAGCCTTTCCCCTCCTCTTTCTGTCTATCTATCTCTGCATGCCGGGAGGGAGTGAAGGGAACTGTAACTACTTCCTCCTGGCACTGAGAACGTGTAGAAGGACAAGCTGACAGGGCAACAGGTTGAGATATCTCTGGTCGCAGAGCCGACTGCCCATTCTGCAGAGCCTCGTGCACTCCGGCCCGCCCATTCCCCTGCGCTGGTTCAGCACCGGGAGGAAGTAGTTAAGTTCCTGTCACTTCCGGCGCACTGAGAGAAGACAGGTGAGTGGGAGTCTGGATCAGCGGCAGCCCACTGTAACCTGCTCCCAGTCCTACTGGACCCAAGGAAAGCCCCTCCTGTTCCCACAAGGTAGGTAAGAGGGTGGTAATATATGTATTGATTTTTTTTTTGTATGTCTGTATGTATCTATGAATCTGTGTGTATAAATAAAATACTGTCTGTCCGTGTGTATCAATCAGTCAGTGCATGTACATGTTTAGGTAACCAGCTCCCCTTCGGTCACACGGGAATGGTGTTTTTACTTTTTATTCCCCAACGATGTGCCAGTCTCGCTGTGGCTGGTGCACCTCTATAGCTGAGAAAATGTTAACTCAGCCAATCCAATGCTTTTTCCATGGGAAAGCATTGGGAGGCTATTGTGCATGCGCTGCAAAATGCTGCACTAATCCTCATAGAGATGATTTAAATCCATGCATCTCTATGGGGAATGTTCAGCTCCTCCATGCAGAGCATGGAGATGCTGAATGAAGTTAGGTGACTCTTTAGTGTCTAGATAGCAGAAACTTTAGTTAGGAGTTAATTTTTCTTTTCAACAACAAATAACACAAAAAAATGACTACTCAAAGGTTTGACAAAGACTGGTGGTTGAATTTAGTGCATTGAAAGTGTTAAAATACCACCATTTGAAATACCCTATTCTAATTTTCAAAAATATATGGTTTGATGGGGGTAAATTACATTGTCCGGCTTCAAAAATGTCCCAAATAGGACATGAGTGCATGATGACCAGCTATGAAAATTCCAAGTTGGAAAACTGGAATGCGCACCTTCCAAATAAGGTCTTTTAGCCCCCAGAGAATCCGACACACCTATACATGGGTGGTATTACTGTAATCGGGAGATGTTACTGAAAACCTATTGGTGTGTTCTTTGGCAGTAACCCTTAAAGTTCTCAGTACATGTATTCTTAAATTGCTATGTGTGTCAAAAAAAATCACCAATTTTTTTTTACATTTGGCATAGATTGGTGGTAAAATGGTTGAATGAAAACAGTCAAAATACCCCAAGTTTAATATCTTAGGTTGTCTTCTTTTATAAAAATATATACATGTGAAGGGTTATTCAGCGATTCCTGACAGATATCAGTGTTATGTAAATTTTTTTGGGGGGAAATGGTTTGGAAATGGCAAAGTGCTACTTGTACTTATAGCCCTATAACTTAAAAAAAAGCTAAGAACATGTTAACATTGGGTATTTCTAAACTCAGGACAAAATTTAGAAACCATTTAGCATGGGTATTTTTGGGTAGTTGTAGATGTGTAACAGATTTTGGTGTTCAAAGTTCGAAAAAGTTTGTTTTTAAACTTTCATGTTTTATAAAATTTATATTAAATTATGATATGATGAAAATAATGGTATCTTTAGAAAATCCATTTATTGGTGAGAACAACGGTATATAATTTGTTGGTACAGTAAATGAGTAAGAGGAAAATTACAGCTAAGCTCAAACACTGCAGAAATGTAAAAACAGTCCTGGTTCTGAACGGTAAGAAAATTGAAAAACGGTCTGGTCACTAAGGGGCTAAAAAAAGACACACTCTTTACACTAAAGCACTTTTGTGTGGAGTGGTTATTTAACTGAGATGTCTTCTTTACTGCATTTTGGGGCTGAAACAATTACACTAATGTAACACCAAACCTGTATCTTCCACCTATGTCTTAACCACTACCCAATGAGAGACTGTGCTTGGGAACACTTCCCTAAACAAGGCATTTCTCCCTTGTGGTGCTGACACACTAACTTCATTGCCAGTGCCTCACGGTCTGAACAAATCATTAATTCTGTTCCATTACCTCTCTAGCAAGCGCAACACAATCTTGCTAGAGTAATAATCACTGCAACTACAGTGTGTGCTTTGTAAAGTTCTCATGCTCTCCCTTGTCACCAAGTTGTTGACATAATGGTCTTTGCTGAGAATTGATTGTGGGGGAGGTACCAAATGGCTAAACTACTTTCTTTCATTCTGCTTGCAAAATTAATGGATAAAGTTATTTTTCATTAAAGGGACACTCCAGGCACCCAGACCACTTCTGCCCATTGGAGTGGTCTTGGTGCCAACTCACCCACCCTTAACCCTGCAAGTGTATCAGAAAGCCACTAGACTGACTTCCGTGTTCTTGGAACACAAAAAGTGTTTTAAATGACGCTGGACATCCTCACGTTATGCATGAGAACCTCCAGCGTCGCCGGAATCCCCATAGGAAAGCGTTAGGTCTCCTCTGTCGGCGGGGGAGGACCATGGGCGGAGCCTGACCCGTTGATGTCCAGGTAAGTCACTGAAAGGGTTTTAACCCCTTCAGCAACATGGGATAGGGGGTGGGAGGGAGAGGGGCACTGCAGAGTCCTGCAGTGCCAGGAAAACGGATATGTTTTCCTGGCACTGGAGAGTCCATTTAAAACCAAAGCAGACTCTCCAATTTGAAAAAAGTTGTCAAAATACTATTTACATTGTTCTTCAATACGGTTTACGGTACTGTAAGAATGTTACCTTTTGGATAAAGTAATGTTAAAATATGACGTTAAAGCCAATTTTACGTATGCTGCCGGCAATACAGCAGCAAGGATTTTTTTTTTTTCCTGACATCCTACAGAACAGGTGGTCTTAAACACCATAAAAATGTGTGTGTATGTATGTATATGTTTGTGTGATGGTACTACCCTTTACTCCTCCCTAGGCGTATAGGAACCAGGTTCCCACAGGAATCCCCAGTTTTCTGCCTGTACCAGGGAAGAGGTCTGTCTCAAGTAGTAATTTTTTTTAAAGTTTTTCTTTTCTTACCTACAGCAGTCTACAGGAACTGCAGGATGCTAGGGCGGCCAGTGGACCCTCTAGGGCAGGCACTCCAGATGTTTTGGACTTAATCTCCCATAGTGCTCTTACAGCCAATGCTGGCAAAGCATCAAGGGAGATGTAGTTCACAATATCTAGGGTGCCGAAGGTTGCCTATCCCTGCTCTATAGGAAACAAAATCTCAGCCGCTACCGATCCATTCGTTCTAGTGGAAAGGACACCAGGAATTTGCGATCCGTTCCACTCATTCCTCACACCTGAGTGCCAGAAGGCAGTGGGGTGCAGTGAATATAGATTTTACTTACCTGAAGGTGCCCACCACAGGCGTGCCATCTTCAGCTCCTGACACTTCATCTACCTGGAGCCTACATAGATAAAAGCTCGTGATGAGCAGGACCATCCATGCCTGAATCAAACAGCTGTCCCACAAACATTCATAAATGAGCTCTGCCTTTTTGTCTAATTTTCTCAACCTCAGGCTTGTCCATAAAACAAAGTAACCCTTACTTTGTCTTATGGAAACGTTAGCTTTTTTTTTTTTTTTTGTGAAATTTCATAGTTTTCTGAATTTGTATGTTATACAGATATAATCATTATGAAATACTAAGAAGTGACAAAGCCACTTTAATGCATCCAAAGCCGCGATCATACTTTATGTATTTCCGTTCCATGTTTCTGAATTTAAATGAATTTTGTGCTTCTGCTGCTTCCCAATCTTACTGTTATGGGGTACTTTTTAAACAGCAGGGTTTTTTCTTTCTGTTTTATAAAAAAATAAATGTATGCACAGAGTAGTGATGTCTTGTATGGTTTTAAGTTTAATTACATTTTTTTTGCTTGTTTTCCAGAGTCCATCTCTGTGAGTTCAGCATGGGTGATAAACCAATATGGGAGCAAATTGGATCAAGCTTTGTTCAGCATTACTATCAAACCTTTGACAATAACAGGGTCCATTTAGGAGCGATATATGTGGGTATTTTAACTCTTAATTATTATTTTTTTGATGTTTTATATTTACTTGATGCAGTTTGTAACAGTTTATATTTTTTATGATTAAACATTGACATTTAAAATTACATTTGAGAACTGTGTACCATATGGAGTCACATCCATAGAAATGTTTAAATGAAGTAAAGAATTTACTTGCTCCTTCTAATTCTTTCTTCACTTATTAATTTTGTATTGCTGTTATGTACTGTTTACTTTATTAAGCAAATGTAGGATCCAACAAAGCAGTGAATTCAAACAATACTGCTTTCATTTTGATGAATCAAGACTTTCTGATTTTGTAAAGCGTTCTTGATGTAGATTGTATCAAGGCAGGGTTTTCATTCTAGAAATCCTATGGGTTCCAACAAAGCTGTTTTGTGCATTAGATGTATATTTGAAATTATTTGGCTGTATTCGCATAATTGGCAGTGAATTCTATTCCAGTTTAATGTCTACTTTGCCAATGGTGTCCTGCCTAGATACTGTGCTAGCTAGAATTAATTTTCAGAAATGGATAGTACTTGCACTACTCAGTTATCTCTGTCCAGTGCCAAAGAGTTTTAACATTATAAATAATATTGTAAAAAAAATACTAATTTAAAGGCAATGCAAATTCATTATATAATGTACTAAAAATTTGGGGTGGGGGGAAAGATACATGGAATGGACAAAAGTATGTGATCATGCCCATTAATTGTTTTCAGCCTTTGCTAAAAAGTGTTTAAAGGGATACTTTGGACACCATAACTTCATCGCAATAAGAGATGACACTCCCAGCTTATCAGTAGCTCCTCATTTAGAAAAGTGAATGAAAGATCAAATCTCATGCATGACGTACTCTACGATCCGTAGCGTCAGGTCAGAGGCTTCATAATTGAAGCCTCTGACCATCGGTGAAAGTGGAGGGCAGAGTGATATGGCCTCATCTTCCAGACTTAGTAGTTAACTCCTTGAGGTAAAATTGCGCTTGGGACCTCCCTTGCATCATAACTTAATTGCCTCATAAAATTCAGAACTTAGCTATGAAATCTCAGACTAATTTTTGCAGTCTTGCTGAAGAGCTCAATGACTTTTAGCATCCTACGACAGCACCATGTTTAAACGTTTGTATAAATCCCACCCTACAAGAATTGCTCTAAACAACTCTAAGTGCTCCCTGAAGCCTGCATTTCAGAATAAGAGCAACAGGCTACACATGAAGTGGTAGATCATACTCAGAGCTGGAATAGAGTACTGCGCTGCTTGGGTAAGCAGTCTGTGTGATCCAACAAAAGTTCTGACCTCTGCATTCCAGCTGGATGAATTTTACATAAACATAATACAGGCATTTTATAATGAAGCATAAGAAATCAGGGGATAACTTAAGTCTGAAACAATCATTTTGGTAGAAGACAACTTTATGGCATTTGACAGTTTGAAAGATGCTGACCCCTCCTTATACCTGATTGTCTGAGCACCTCTTTCCATTCAGGACCTACATTTTTTGACTTACAGCAGTCTCTTAAGTATTATTTTTTTATTTTTTTTATTTTTATTTTTTATTTTTATTTTAATAGTGGCAGTACACACGGGTTTGCCCTTCCTTATTTGGACAAGTATCTGAAATTTAGGTTAAACAAATCCCTTACCCTATCAAGGGCATTTCCTGCAAACCCACCACAGTAATTATCAAGAAAAATGCAACTTATTTACTGTAAATCATTTATTTCTGCGGGAGGGAAAATTGTACTGCCACCATACGAAGAAAAAAAATATACGCTAAGTAAAAAAATTTTAATTTTTTTTTTCTGATATATGGTGGCAGTACATACGGGATATAGCAAGATCCCAAATCCGGGTGGCCATTATGCCCAAATGTTGCTTCAGAGGACGAGAATATATCTAGCTTTTAATGCCTGATGGTAAGTGTTGAATGATGACCAGGAGGCCACTTTACAGGTTTCGCCAGGACACGCAAGGGCCTTCTCTGCCAATAATGTAGCCATAGCCCCCGTGTAATGAGCTTTAAGAGACACTGGCACAGAAGGCATACAAGAAGAATACGCCAGTCTGATTGCTTCAATGCGCAAAGCTTCTTTCCCTTTAAACCTTCCTTGGAAGTTAACAAAAAGATTATTGGAATTTATGTATTCTGACAACTTTGAGATGTATATCTGCAATGCTTTTCTTACGTCCAGTTTATGCCATCTTTGTTCCTGTGGTGAGGAGGTGTTGTTGCAAAAGTTAGTTGATTCACCACTTTAGATGCTATAATCTTGGGTAAGAAAAGAAGGCTTAGGATGAAAAACAACCTTGTCATTGTGAAACACAGTAAATTCATCTGAAGGTGAAAGCGCTTGAAACTCGCTGACCCTTTTGGCCACGGTGATGGCGACCAAAAACGATGTCTTGAGAGCTGTCTTCAAAGGGACATATTCCAAAGGCTCAAAAGGTGGTCACAGAGAGCCTGTAGAACTATAGAAATTACTATTTTCTAGGAGGTCGAATGAGCCTGATGGCCCTAAAGAGTCCAATTAGAATGAGATGCCAAATACTTGATCATAAAAAAATGTAAGGCTGTGAAGAGTGGTTTCAAATGACTGATGAACCTGAAGGCAATGGTGTTCCTTACACCAATGTAAAAACTTTTCCAAGACTTGCAGGTAAAGTTTTTTTTTTAAAGTAGAATGTCTAGTAGAATGAAGCAGCAGTTGCGCCCTGTCTTCATGAAAACCCTGATGAAGGATCAACCTCGCAGCAGCCACGTCGTCAATTTGAACATCCTTTGAACCTCCAGTAGATCCCCTTTTTTTTTTTTTTTTCTATAAGATTGACATTGGGAGTTCCCAATATGTGGAAGCCATCTCCTTTAAGGCTGAAAACAAACTCCTGTTTGGCCAGTATGGAGTTATCACTAGAACCACTGCTTTGTCTCTATTTTTCAAAATTCTTGGAATCCGCTTCAGCGGAGGAAAGATGTAAGCTCGCTTGAACTCTCATTTCATAAACAGTCTATCCATTGGGGTTGATCTGCTCTGAACCGAGAGGCAAATCTGTGAAGATTTTTCTTGCCATAAGGTCTACTACAGGAACTCCAAACTTTCTTTTGAGAATCACAAAAATCTTTGGATACAGTGACCATTCCTTCTTGTCCCACTTCCACCTGCTGAGATTGTTTGCTCTGACAGTCAATTCCTCTTAAGTGAACAGCGGAGATATCCTACGTTTGATGTATTTGTTGTAATTACCAACCAATATTTTGGATGAAAGGTCAGACCTCTCGAAATGAGCTTTGAAGTTCTCCACCAATCTGTTGATGGAATCTCTCATTGCAGAGGCGCTATTTTTGGTTTTGCCCACGGGAATAGATGTCAGGTATTCAAGCATGCTCATTGCACTCCTGATGGAACTTCTGTTTGTTTGTAAACTGGATACTTCTCTCCAAATTTTCTTTCTTTTTTTCTGGCGTCAGATGTAGAGAGAACGTGTTTGAATTTACCTCAAATCCAAGAAATTCTATCACTCTTGAAGGAAGCAGGGTTGACTTCTCTAAGTTTAGCATCCAACCGTGTTCTTAGAGTACTTTGGTGATCTGAACATTTTTATTTTTTTTTATTTTTTTTTTATTTAAAGCAGCTGTCTTGATCTTGCTATTAGCAGCCAATCGTCCAAGTAGGGGTTTGATTGTGATCAATTCTCTTAGGTCTCGCTGTTATGAGAGTCAGCACTTTCGTAAATATTCTTGGAACAGATGACAGGCCAAAGGGGAGTGCCTTGAATTGAAAATGGTAAGTTCTTATACTTCTTCTTTTTACATCGAATCTTAGGAATTTTCTTAGTCTGCAATAGGGATATGCATCCTCGAGATCCAGTTTTACCATAAAATCTCCCTTCTGAAGGACCTGAGTTAGAGGAACTCGTCTCCATTTGGAACCTTTTGGTATGGAATATAACTATTAAATCTAGATTTAAAGGAAATAAATAATCGGCCGAATGGAATGATCCGGCTTTGGCACCAGGAAGATCCTTGAGTACACCCCTTGGAACGTCTGGCGATTTGGTACCTTCTCTATAACTCCTTTTCTTAACCGTAATATTGTTTCCTGCTTCTGAAAAAGGAGCCTCTGACTTTTGGGAAGACTGTTAAAAGGGCACGAGGAACTTCCACTTTGGCATACTTGTGAATTGTAACGTGTAGCCTTTTTTCACTAGATTCAGAATCCAACGGTTGTACTTTTTTCCCATCTTGTGTAGAAATGTTGAATTTCTTCCTCCTACCTTCTTCGCGTCAGAAACGTCTACTTTTGTTTTAATTTTTTTTTTTTGTTTTTTTTGTTTTTTTTCATGACCTATCTTGCTAGGCCCTTCTACTGCTGTCCTGGAAATTCCTGTAACCAGGTTTCCATGCATTTTTTTTATTTTATTTTTTTGTCTTGGGCTTTTTGTTTCTAACATCTGTTTAATTATCTCCTCCAAGGGAGATCCAAGCTGCTTGTTTGTCTAAAGGAAGTTCACAAAGGACTGACTTAGACAGTGTCCACCGTCCAGGCCCTAAGCCATAAAGCTCTATGTGCAACAGCGGATAAAGCCATAATCCTGGCGGGCAGTATTAATACTTCCACTGTCATGTCTACCATATATACATCAGTCTCAAACTTTGAACCAAACACACAAGTTGCTTATCTTAAGTTTCCGCCAGTATCTCCTTTAAACACCCAGGAACAAACTGCTGGAGAGCACGGATCGTGTACACAGATATTTTAAAGCTCAAGATTACGAACGGACCTGCATCCGCACGTTGCAAACTGAAGACCTTTTTTATCTATTACAAATTATGAGTGGCCATTTGACACAAATTCCAAATTATTTAAACCTACAGTTTTGCACTATATTGTGCCATTTCTTCCTTGACAGGATATTCCCTATTTGTATACATCGCCAACAAAGTTTTACACTGGAAGCCTGCTGTTTTAAAGGTTTGCCTACATGATGTCTCTGCTCGTTTGTCTATAGGATTTTTCAGTGCAGCCACATCACCTATAGGAATTGTAGTTTGTGGGGGGAGGGTTATATTTTTTATTTAATTTTTTTTTTTTAAGAATTTTTTAGAAAGCTGGGTCACCTTAATGTCTACCTTTGGTAGATCTTCTCACTTTTCATCTTCTGTGATTTTTACATTTCTTAATGTCAAAAATTGATTAGATCATTCAGAGGTTGTTGCTTTGGAAACTTTTTTTTTTTTTTTTTTAAAACCTTTTTAGAAAGCTCCACATGAACTTGAGATGTCTGAATCGGAAGTGGCCAAGCATTCGCCATATGAAATCTCACATCTAAATGAAGATCTTTATCTTTTTCTGCGACTGTGACCAGTCTCTGGAACAGATGCAGACACTGTTAGATTCTTTAATTGTATCCATAGTCTGAGTAAAGGTATACTGGAACCAAGCCAGGAATGATTGCATATCTTTTTCCAGATAAATCGCCGCACACTGACTTCCAATTTTTTTTTTTACTTGTTCCATCTGGAAGGGTTGTTGCACATTCACTGCAAACTATGTTTTTTGTTTTAGATGTAGCCTTTCTAGGTGTAGATTAGGAATTTTCTCCTTTTTCCATTTCTGGATACTCCTGGCTAGACATATCTGCAAATATAAACAATCTCTACTTTACTTTAAAATGTTTTTATTGGAGCAATTTCTTAAGAAAATGTATTTAATCTCCCTTTAAAAGTCCTGTGAGCCGTAGAGGGGAGGGAAGGGGGGCTGGTGACACAGAGTAACACTTTTGACAAGCTGTTAGAGGGAACTGCACAGCAGGATTTTTTTTGGACGTTCTGATTCGTGCATGTGTGGTAGCAACACAGAGTAATAACGTTGTAATTCGTGCAACCTTTGGACCGCCTCATTCAGCCAGCCAGGAACTCACTTTGCATAAGAACAATCAAAATCTTTGCTCCGTAACCTCCATGGTAGGAGCATAGCCACCGAGCATACCACCCAGGCAGCTATCTGACCATATCCCCCAGACATCAATCCGTGTGTCTCGCCAAACGACCAGACGCTTGATCCGTCCCAAGCTGGGACAAGAAAGAACTGAGGTGAGTTTGCAGGAGCAGCTCTTTTATAGGGTAAGGGGGAGGGATTTGTTTAATCTCTTAGATGCTTGTCCTAATTAGGAAGTGCAAATTTGTATGTACTGCCACCATACGTCAAATGTTTTTACATTTTAAGTAATCTTCTCTAGAAAGTCAAGGTATTGCATGCATTCAATTAATAACTGGTTGGCAAAGGTATATTTGCCAAACATTTGACATCCCCCTTTAGATCATGATAACCCTTCTAGAAGAACACTGGTAAGTTTGTGTATTTAAAGAAGTCTGCTGCAGAGCTGCCCAGGTATACTAAATTTCTCGTAAACGCTGTTTCTGTTCTACCATAAAACCGAATAATTAATTGTTGAAGGACTCTGTTAAAGAGAACGCATCCTTTCTATAAGAACTGATAGAGATGAAGGTTCTGACTTATGACGGCAAGAGCTTCAGCTCCCTAGGTAGAAATCCTGTGTGAATTCTTAAATGTTCCTTCCAACTCTAAAGAAGATTCTATTGGTAGGTTTCCATAACCTGATAAATTAATTCAGAGTTCTGGTGTACAGTGTCCACAAATGTGTCCGCTTCCAGTTGGGGTACTGTGTGTAAACCATCTAAGTGTACCAGTGGTTCCCAAACTTTCTAGGTTCAAGGCACCCTTAATATTTCAGTATTTTTCTAGGACACACGGAGTTAAAACTTCTAGGTTGTATATCTGTACAGCGCTGCTGCATTTACTGGCGCTATAGTGTAATGTACTGTGTTGGTGCTTGTATACACTTTTAATGCAGGTTTTTTTGTATGTGGTGTTCGATTGCAGGGGTGTGTCTGAATAGAATGTTCACTTTTAAATGTAGATGTACATTTGTGTGACGTATTTGAGTGAAGGGGTGTGTTATGTAATTGTTAGATTGCAGGATTGTGCTTGTATGTTGTGCTGGTGTTTGGCTGTATGCACATACATATATTCATGCATATTAACACAGATGCATATAAATACACTGACACATACATACAGATGCATATAAACATACACAAACATTGATACATGCACAACCTATGACACAGATACTCTCATAAAAGCATACCCCCTGACACACAGATGCACACTGAGATAGATATGTATGTATGTATGTATGTATGTATGTATGTATGTGTATATGTATGTGTATGTATTCTCCAGCCACCATCCTGTTGGCTTACCATATGTGCCAGGAGCGTGGCTTGGAGTACTGCTGCTGCTGTGGGAGTGAGGGATCTGGAGCTCTTCATGCTTTTCTCCCCTTCCGCGCTGTCTCCTTGCAGGGTGCCGGGAGGAAGTGATAGGCTGTTACTTCCTCCCAGCCGGCCGACAGAGTCACGGTCTTGAAGGACCGCGGCCCTCAACCTGGTCCCCGTTGAACAGTAATGTTTCCCTGGTGCTATAATCATAGCACTGGGGAAATATTTTGCGGCACCCCTGTGTTTGGGAACTGCTGAACTATAATATGTAGAATTACATCACTGAATTTTGAGATCCAAGATATCTACTAGGTGGCATGTAAGGGAAAAAGTCAGCTGTCTAGACCAACTGGTGGAGCTGGATTCCTTGACCACCTTATCCAATTCATCTGTCCTACATCCTCCCTTTTGTAGCAATGCTCGCCTATTGTGGTGTTTTTTTTTTTTTAATTTAAAAAAAAAAAAATTCCATGTTTTAAGGCTCAAAACTGGAAATTTATTTAATCTGGTTATCACACGGAAATGTATCTACTGTTGCTCCGCAATTTAAAATGTGTCAAACTTTAATACCACTGTTACTGAGATCAATGTGAGATGTACAGTTTGACATACATGACATGTATACCAGTCATACACTGATAAAATTAATTAACTATATTAATGGCGCTCTAAATAGTCTGAAAACGGGTGTTTCAGATGCGAATCTCGTCCAGCTTTTGACCACACACTTGGTCAGTAATGCTTTACCATATTCTTACTAACAAGGCAGATTAACTCCTACATTGCACCATACATATATGCCATAGAGCTTAATGCCTGGGACCCCTTTTCCTAAAGTTGGACTTATTTACCTATTTTTAGTGTCCAAGAGTGTTCTCCGCCAATTCATTGTTTCCTATAGGGAGGTTTGTGCACATGCTCTGCAGATCTCAAAGCAGCATTTGATTCAAGTCTGTTTTTTTTTTTTTTTCTTTTTTCTTCTTCTTCTTCTCGCAGGGGTAGCGCCTGTAGTGTTTTTTCAATATATACAAAAATCAAAGGTCTTTCATACGATTAACACTAAAGGACCAATGCACCTGGAATATAATATTTATATATTATATAAAAAAAAATTCTCACTTTTTAGGGGTGTATGTATATTGTATGTGTATAGAGCATTTATTCAGAGAGTTTCCTGTGGTGACTTCTAATCTAACATTACCGAGGTTATAGATTTGTAGATCAAAGAGCAAATTATGGTCAGTCTGTGTAGAAGCAGTGTTGGAACAGACAGTGTTGATATTTATGATTTGGGTAGTATTACATAAAGTAGTCTGCTGTCATAATGGAGAGAGAGGCTACTAGCAGACCATTATAATCTTTAAACATGTAGGCCTTTCCTATAGAGAAATTAAAAAGCATGTTAAGGGGTCAGTACAGTTTTCTACACCATCAAATGCTCTTGGAAAGTGGTGTAAACTGACCACAGGTCTGGCAAGCCCAAATCAACAACAGAATAAAGTTTGAGAGTTAACAGGTTGCATGACAGCTCACAGGAGAACAAACTAACACTTGCCAAAGTAAGAAAGTCTCTCTTTTATCTGTATGGAGAAGACTTCAAGATGTTGGTTTACCTGGTCAAGTTGCAGTAAGAAAGACATTGCTATGATGGCTTCGAAAGACTTGACTGGGCTATGAAGCATTTCCAGTGGAATCCTGAAGACTAGGAGGTCTTGCAGACCCGATTAAATTTTTTTTTTTTTTTTTTTAAATGTGAAGACTAAATCTTGCTGGTTATTTTTAATATTTGCAGCCGGAGGAGAGAGAAAAAAAATAAATTTTTATATATAAATATAATTTTTAAAAAAAAATTATTATTTTTTTGTGAAAAAGTGCATGTTGTTATTTAAAGTTCAATTAACTTGGATTAATGGAAATAATTTAGAGAAAATATGCAGGCTCATGCTACATAAGCAATCCCTATTTCGTGTTCATTGTATCTTAAAAAGAAATCCATCTTAAGCATTCTATTAAAAGAAATTTAGATTTAAATAAAATATACCCCACCTCTCCCAAGTGGACTTTTATCCATCCGGTTTATAGTTAATCACACAGAATTTTTGCACGGTCAGTTAGAATAGTTCATTATGTGACGCCAATTGTCAAACTTGTATAAGTGGTGTGGGCCTCTGCTAGATCCAAAATCCATGACTGGCACCCATAAACAAACATGACTACCACAGCATTTTCAGCACCAGGTAGCACTCTGGTTAGTACAATAATGACCCACGGTATTGCCCTCAGGCTAGGTCTGAACTACCTTCGAAAAGAATAAGAATATGTGCTTTTGATCATGAAGTGGCTAGCATATCCTCCGTTGTGGAGGCTTTTGATGGACTGGACAGAAGGTTGAAAGTAAAACAGCCTCTTGTGGGAACTTCTGTAACAATGTTGGCCATAACCATCCATTGTAAAAACATTCCATGAGTATTATGAAATTATATCTGCAAAAGGTAGCAACTGTGGGCCAAGACACTTGTTTGTTTGTTTTTGTTTTTGTTTTTTTATTTTATTTATCCCCAATTCTTTCTTGCTTTTAATACCATGGTACACTGAGACAATAAACTGTATAAATTGAAATGTTTTGACCAGTAGTGCATCTTTGTAAGTTGATATTAGGGATATGAACTCTTTGATTTCACTTTAATACTGTTTTACATCAATAATTTTCACTTCCCCTCAGCAGAGGTTTGAGGAAAAAGTGATGTTAATTTAAATGTTGCTCTCTAATTTGCAGATTGACGCTTCATGCCTTACATGGGAAGGACAACAATTTCATGGCAAAGATGCAATTGTTGAGAAAATCACAGTACGTATTGGTTAAAAACTGTAATTGGGTTTGATCGTTAAAGGACCACTATAGTGCCCTGAGGGTTCCCCCACCCTCAGGGTCCCACTCCTGTGGCGCTGAGGGGGGAGGAAGTGGTTACACTTACCTCTTTCACCAGCGCCGGGCGGGGAGCTCGCCTCCTCTTCGGCTAAATGCGCATGCGCGGCAGGCGCTGCGCGCGCATTAAGCCAGTCTCATAGGAAAGCATTTACAATGCCTTCCTATGAACGCTGGCGTCTTCTCACTGTGATTTTCACAGTGAGACGCACGCAAGCCCCTCTAGCGGCTGTCAAGAGACAGCCACTAGAGGCTGGATTAACCCGAACATAAACATAGCAGTTTCTCTGAAACTATATTTAAAAAAAAAAAAAAAAAAAAAGTTAATCCTAGCTGGACCTGTCACCCAGAACACTTCATTAAGCTGAAGTGGTCTGGGTGCCTATAGTGGTCCTTTAAGAGGTCAAAATCTATAAATGTTTGTGTGCAATTTGTACAATGTGGTTTTTGTAAAACTATGGCAGCAGGCAATTTAGGTTGAGCAGCAAGTGGTCACATAAAAGTAAAATCTGACCTAACAAATAGCCAGCACTTCCTCACCCAATTTTATACAGACTAAAAAGGAATAAGCTATTATTTTTTGTACACACTTCTTGTACATGTCTAGGAATCTGTTTTGGGTGTGCCAGATTTTACTCTCTATTACTTCTTACTACTACTATATATTGGCACAGATAGTTGCTTGACATTCACTAGTGGCTTGTTATTAAATCCAGCCTTATGTCTTCTGTCCCCTTGCATTTTGGAATTGGATTGATAATTGCAGGACACAGACTGGAGAGTATGTCATTCAATTTATTCTATTTGATTTAATTATTGTTTTACATCTAGTCCATCTCTAATATTTCAGATGTTCCTTAATAAAGCTGCCTATATAAACACGCTAAACTCTTCCCTAGACTAGAAGAGACAGGATTCAAAAACCTTGTCAGTGGTGCCTTTTTGAAACTTGGACATCTAGAATCTGGTTAGTGTTTTTGCCGTTAAAGGGATTCTATAGTGTAAGGGAATACATTATATTCCTTACACTGTAGAACCCTCTGGTTGCCCCTCTCTGTTCCTAAAGGTGTTTTTTTGTTTTTTTTAAAGGGAATCCTTTAGTGTACTCACCAGATTCTGGCACTGATCTCCCTCTTCAGATGTCATCCAATGGGGTGGGGGAGTAATGAGCATGCACGGTGAGCGCATCTCTTCAGTGCTTTTCTATGGGGATTTTACTCACTTGATGTCCTCATGCAGAGTCTGAGGGCGTCCAGTGTCAGGTGACCAAAAGTAGGTAAGTCACTAGGAAGTGCTGTCTGATCGCCACTAGAGGCCGTCTTAGTCCTGCAATGTAATTATTGCAGTTTCTCAAAAACTGCATTGATTTACATTGCAGGACTAAGTGGGACTGGGACATTGCACCCAGACCAATTAAATGAGATGAAGTGGTCTGGGTGACAAGTGTCCCTTTTAAGGACTAGAAGAATTTGGGATTTGTTGCTTTGTTAATATTAATTTAGCTCTAGTATCTGTAGAGGTTTACTGTTAAAACTATTTCTGGTGGATATTTTCTTTTTGTTTCAGTTGCTTCCCTTTCAGAAAATTCAACATAGTATCACTTCTCAAGACCATCAGCCCACACCAGATGGATGCATAATAAGTATGGTGGTGGGTCAACTTAAGGTAAAAGTCATCAATGATATCATTTTTTTTATGACTTATGTGGCAAATCCATCACATAAGTCATAGCTCCTTCCAGTGAAAGTAGTGTTCTAGCTGGTATAGCTTTCCCCCAATACATTAGCTAAGACTTAATGTTGGGAGTAGATCTGGTTTTATTAGCACAAGCGTGGTCATTTCTTCACTGACCTCCAGCATGGGGTTCCTGTTCAATAGCACGTTATCCCGCCATGATGCCTCTTCATTTGAGAGATAATTGATTTGATGCTCGCTAAACTAACCATCTCCCAAATACATACAACACAGAAACACCCCAAAAAGATAGTAAAATTAACATGAACCCAACACATCCCCAGATGGCTCTGATCCGAGCGCCCATGTTGGCAACATAGTGCACGGATCCATGATGTATTGACAGATTGCTATGGCCAGTTAAAGTCCATGCTCAAAAGAGTTCCAGGATAAATGGGGCATTGGCCAGTCAAGTGTCGGAAACTCCAGAGGACGAAATAGGGGGTGCTCCACCTGGCTTTCAGGAAGCGATTGTTTCACATAGTCTCGGGCGATTTCCCTCCAAAAAGCGTTCTGATAGCTGTTAGGGAAGTGAGTGGAATATAGAAAGGAAAGTTGACCGGGAGATAGGGATAACTGCGTCCGGACCGAAATTTCTGAGGAGTTGTGGACAAGTCCCGCTGTAGTCCTGGGCTCTGGTTACGGCCAGAGGGGGCGCTCCCGGCTGGACTGGAGGGAAAAGGTGATGGGAGCCCGGGGCAGTGAAAAGTCTTTTATGGAAATTATAAAGGAAAACAGTGTGGATGGTGACTAGGTGATCTGTCACAACTTATATGTAAACTAACCTGTGTATAGCCTGCTTTTATGTGATTCCCTATGTACTTTTGCATTTGTACATTAGTACTTAAATTGCAAATTCCGTGTTTCTCAAATGTATTTTTCTTTAAAGCGGCACTGTCGTGCCGAACTTACCTTTCTTTAATCGATTCCTCTTCTCTCCCTCTGTAAGGATCTGTTCATTTATTCCTGTCTGCTCTAGTTTTAAAGAAAACACAAGACACAGTAGGGACTACTTTGTCTTATGGAGGTTTCCTACGCTTTACTACGGTGACCAAAGTAGTGGGTGGGGGCCGTAAATTATAACAGGTGGAGAGACCTCAAATGGAAAGGTGTGTGTGTGTGTGTGTGTGGTTTTTTTTTTTTTTTTTTTTTTTTTTTTTTTTTTTTTTTTTTTTTTTTTTTTTTTTTTTTTTTTTTTTTTTTACAGGTATTTAGTTCTCTTGTTTCCCCCACCACCACTATTTTTAGGGTGAGGGGGTTAGACAGGGTTTACTATTTTTTAATTTTTTTTTTTTTTGTAGTGGGGGCCAGGGGGAGGACCATTGGTGTGTCTCTCCCCACCATTTTTATTTAGGGCCCCCACCCGCCGCTCAAGCGTGGGGGCCCCCCACCCCACTTTCTTTTAGGGCCTCGACAGCTCGTGACGGGGGACACTAGGTTTTGTGCTTTTTTTGGGGGGGGGTTGTTTTTTTTTTTTACCTAGTTTACTAGACATGCCCCTACTCGCAGTATAGTGAGTAGGGGCAGATTATATACTAATACGAAGTAATCTTTACTTGGTATTAGTAAATTTAGCTGAAAGATCAATTTAGGTTTTTCATCCTTTTGGTAGATAGCTCCCTAATAACATGGGAATTAGCGCCTGCAATATGCAGCCACGGCACAAATCGGATCAGTTTCATTCATTCAAATGACATTCCGATCCGAACAAAATCCCGAATTGCGTCCTAACATGAATGGAGAAACTGTTCTCATTTTGTTAGTACGAAATTTGGTAGTTTTGCCGTCGTTCTGTCTAAGTGACAGAACGCGAGATCACAGGTGAGAATTGTGGGGAAATTACTTTGATCACCCGAAACGAAGCACACTTTGCTTTTCTGCTGGTCAGGCGTAGGAAATATACATAAGACAAAATAGTCCCTACTTTGTCTTATGTTGTGTTTTTTTTGTTTTGTTTTTTATTCTTTATTTTTCGTGCATGAGGTAACATAACAAGCTTTCATGCCTCAAACTATTTTTAGATATACTAAGGTTAATAAAATTCTTTCAAAAGCTACTAACTTGTTATCCAACCTTGATCAACAACCTTTAAAGATACTTGATAAATGGAAAAATACCTTAAAGATTGACATAACTGAGCAGGAATGGTGTATGTCTCTTAAAGATACCCGTAAATATATCCATTGTCAGAATTTACTTGAATGTCAATATAAGGTTATGTATAAATGGTATCTGACTCCATATAAATTAAATAAGATGTATCCAGGTCAAATTCCTCATTGCTGGCGTTGTGGTTTTCCAGAGGGAACACTCGTCCATATATGGTGGCATTGTAATTTGGTTAAAAATCTATGGGAGTGGTCCTTTGAAATTCTTAAATGATTATTTAATATTACAATTAACCCCTTAAGGACCGAGGACGGTTCAGGACCGTCATCGGCATTTTTCCCTTGCCGACCGATGACGGTCCTGAACCGTCCAAACGGTCTGGGGGTACTTACCTGATCGCCATCGTTCCCCCGGCGGCGATCAGTGTTCCTCCGGTTGTGGGGAGACTGCCTGCAGCCCAGACAGTCTCCCCACGGCAGATTAGGACCCCTGTGGCCATGTGATCGCTTAACACAGCGATCACATGGTCACAATAGGTGTCCATAGTGCTGCCTGCAGGGGGACTGCCTGTGCTGACAGGCAGTCTCCCTGCAACTGTAAAATCAGAAAAAAAATTAAAGTTAATGGTAATAAAAAAAATAATAATAATTATATATGTATAAATATGATATATAGACATATATTATATCTATATAATATATGTCTATATATCATATATATAATGTCATACTAAGTGTATTTTTATATTAATATGTACTTATATTAATATAAAAATACACTTATAATTAAATTACACACGTATATATATAATATATATAATAACTATATATATTGTATATATTATTATAAAATATAAATAATAAGTAATTTAAATTAAATAAAAATTTTTTAAAATAATAAAAAATTTAAAAAAAATTATATAGCTATATGAAATTTTATTCTAACTGTATTTTAAAATTAATATATATATATTTATATCAAAATACACTTAGAATGAATTTGTATATATATCTATGTATATAAAAATAAATAAAAATAATAAGAAATATACATACGTCCATATACAAAATTACATAAATAATTATATAAATATACACGTAGACTTCAAATATATAAATATGCATATATATTTAAATTCTACGTGCGTATTTATGTAATATTTTTACATAATTCAGTAATTTTATTGATTGCAATTTGAGGGACCTGCCTGCCAACCCAGGCCGAAATTCCAGAGAATTTAATTTGCTAGCACTGTATTTTACCCTGTAACGTTCTACGACACCCTAAAACCTGTACATGGGGGGTACTGTTTTACTCGGGAGACTTCGCTGAACACAAATATTAGTGATTCACAACAGTAAAACATATCACAGCGATGATATTGTCAGTGAAAGTTACTTTTTTTGCATTTTTCACACACAAACAGCACTTTTACTGATGATATAATTGTTGTGATACGTTTTCCAGTTTTTAAACACTAATATTTGTGTTCAGCGATGTCTCCCGAGTAAAACAGTACCCCCCATGTACAGGTTTTATAGCATTTTTGAAAGTTACAAGGTCAAATATATGGGTCAAATATTTTTACATTGAAAATGGCCAGGTTGGTTACGTTGCCTTTGAGAGCGTATGGTAGCCCAGGAATGAGAATTACCCCCATGATGGCATACCATTTGCAAAAGAAGACAACCCAAGGTATTGCAAATGGGGTATGTCCAGTCTTTTTTAGTAACCACTTGGTCACAAACACTGGCCAAAATTAGCGTTCAATTTAGTTTTTTTACTTTTTTCACACACAAACAAATATGAATGCTTACTTTGGCCAGTGTTTTCGACTAAGTGGCTACTAAAAAAGACTGGACATACCCCATATTGAATACCCTGGGTTGTCTACTTTAAAAAAAATATGTACATGTGGGGTGTTATTCAGAGATTTATGACAGATAATAGTGTTACAATGTCACTATTGATAAATTTTAAAAATGTATGTTTTGAAACCGCAATATCCTACTTGTACCTATAGCCCTATAACATGCAAAAAAAAGCAAAAAAGCACGTAAACACTAGGTATTTTTAAACTCAGGACAAAATTTTGAATCTATTTAGCAGTTTTTTTCATTCGCTTTTGTAGATGAGTAAAAGATTTTTCAAGTAAAAGTCAAAAAACATGTATTTTTTTCAATTTTTCATCAGATTTTTGTATTTTTTTTAAATTAAAATACATGAGATTATATAAATAATGGTATGTAAAGAAAGCCCATTTTGTCCTGAAAAAAACAATATATAATTTGTATGGGAACAGTAAATGAGAAAGCGGAAAATTACAGCCAAACACAAACACCAGAAAAGTGTAAAAATATTCCTGGTCGCAAATGTACAACATCGCAAAAACAGTCCAGTCCTTAAGGGGTTAAAAAAGGCCCAGATACAGCATTGCTACATCTAAACTGGAAACTTCCTTCCACTTCTTCTAAATGCCTTGCAAATCACTGTTTCCTCGCAGTAAAAATCATAATAGCTAGGCAATGGAAGTCACATCTTCCTTTCTTGAGGAGTCAGCTTGTTAACCAAATTCTATATCAATTTCAAATGGAAAAAGATTTACCAGCTTCCTCTATACTTTCTCTAAATAAACAAGACCAATACACCAATTGGATACAAACTTTAGAAAATAAATGAATTATTTCCTTGTATTTTTTTTTTTTTTTCCCTTATTTGGATTTCGATAGACTTTGATAAAAAAAAAAAACTCATTCCAGGGATATTTTTTCTTAGTTGTTCAGACTGACCCTAGCCCATATTTATATTTATATATTTATATCTACTTCTAGTCAGACAATAGTTCCATAAGATATAAAATACATTGGTATTGTGAGATCCTCAGCTGTTTAGCTTGGATTTACCTAATATATAGGACTAGAATAGCTGTAACAATGTAAATTATATGTTTTTGTTATGTCACACTTGTCTTTGTCTTGTATGTAATTTTCACTATTTCTCAATGTATGATAAAATGAAAAAAAAAAAAAGGAAATTAAAAAAACAAGCTTTCATGCCATGCCCCAACAGCAGTAGCGTGTTTTGACATAGATAAAGCATAACAGTTGTGGCATAGAAAATATGTGCAAATTTTTTTTGTATATAAGTCATCAGGAGAAAACAGGGTAATAGTCAGTGGTGTGGAAACACGACATATGATAACTCAGGTAGTACCGGCTGACTGTGTGAGTGAAGATTACAGGAGTAACCCAGTGTTTTACATGTGAGACATATTAGTAAAAAGATGGCCTTAACAACTGACTGACCAAGCATAGTGTGTCTTCGCTAATATAACAAAAGGTCATAACATCTTTGTTACCTTGTCAAGAGAGTCTGGAGTGTAAAAACGGGGAGATTTCTAGGCAATGCAATATTTAATTACTAGTACAGCACGGGTGAGTAACTTGCGGCTGTGTGCTGAAAAAGTATGGTAGCCACTGAAGCTTGGGCAGCCTTACATTGCTGTATGTCTCCGCCTAGACAGCAGGGTAATAAACTAAATAAAAGGGATCTGTATAGCAGCCATTTACAAAATATACTATAACAGAGAAACATCGATTTGCATATCATCTGGGTAGTGCCAGATGGAGTCTGCTAGCTATACACTGGAGGACCGCATAGGTGATGCGATTGGGGCTTATCTTAGCCAATCCCAGTGTCCAGTAGGGTTCATCTGCCCCGTGGAAGATGCCTGGATGAGGGTCGGGCACTCACTCACTCACCCTCCGGAGCTCCCTATGAGCCAACGAGGAGAGTGTGTGTATATAGGCAAACCAAACCGTTAACGCTAAAGGTAAGAAATAATACAATAATAAAAACCAGGCTTATAGTGACGTGATGAATTAGTGGTCAGGTAGAGCTACTAGAATCTCGTCTGCATCCAGCTGCCATCAGGTATCTGGTCTAGTGTCCCCTCTAGTTCTTGGGACAAAGGGCGTGACTGTAGAGAGGCCCCAAACCGTGCCATGTGCAGCGACCGCCGGGCCGGTCTGTGCTTCTGTCAGTCCCAGGGTGGATAAAAATTTAGGTGCTTCTGCAAGGGAGGTGAGTGATTGGGTGGTCCCATTGTGGGTCACTTGTAGGGTTCCAGGTGGTCCACAGCGATAGGTGATGCCTGCTCCCCGCAGTTGTTGTGTGAGCATCTTGCATCATTGCAGGATCATTCTTATAAAGGCCTGATAAAAGGTGAGGTGGGCGTCCTCAAATACCAGAGGTGTTTTGCCCCTCAGGGCCGCCATAATTTGTCCCTTAACGTGTAATTTCATGCAATGGAGAATAATATCTCTGGCAGGAGGTGGTGCTGGCCTGGTCGGTCCTGGGAGTCTGTACACCCCATCAATAGCAATTTTTCGTACTGCTGTCTTGGGCAAGATTGTGGCCAGCATCAGTTGGAAAAAGTGTGGCAGTTCCTCCGTGGAAATAGCGGCTGGTACCCTGCAGACTTTAATGTTGTGCCGGTACTCCATAGCTGTCGTTTGTAGAGACAGTGCTTAGTGCGATTGTATAAGTTCTTGTATCATTGCTTGCACGTTGGATAGACCAACTTGTAGGTTAGAGATATCTTCGTTGGCACGTACCATGTCAGTGGTGTTCTGTATATCTGATTGGAGGACAACTAACTTGGCCGCTAGTATCTTGTGGAAGTCTTGCAGCAAGAGTTTGTGATCACTGGATTATGCGAGATTTTTTTTGATTTGGAGGAGATAAGCTAAGATTTTCAGGAGCTGTTTGAAATGGCGTCTGAACGTCTCCGCCACCCCTTTGTCTTATGTTTTAAAGAAAACTAGAGTAGACAGGAAGAAATGAACAGATCCTGACAGAGGGGGAGAAGAGGAATCTATTTGGGGAAAGGTAAGTTTGGCATGACAGTGCCGCTTTAAGTTCGCACTGATTTTTAATGTGCTTGGTATGTACAGTGGATGAAGTTTCTTTTCTAGCCTATTGAAAGTTAACTGCCAGCTTTTGCTCAGAAGTTGAAGCCGTCCACAAGAGCTATAGTACTGTTGGGTTGTTCACTAATGCAAGCTTTAGTAAACCGTTAAAGTAGTTTGCAGTTATTCCCAAATTATAGTTCCAGTAGAGTGAAAATACAAACTTCAAATCAGACTAAAATAAATATGGATAAGTACGATAGAAAAAATATTAGTATTGAGTGTCCACAGAGTATTCACAGCTAGTTGTTTTTTTTTGTTTGTGTTTTTTTTTTTTTTTTATCCTAAATATAGAAATTCAGATTTAAAGGGACACTCCAGGCACCCAGACCACTTCTGCCCATTGGAGTGGTCTGGGTGCTAACTCCCACTACTCTTAACCCTGCAAGTGTAATTATTGCAATTTTTAATAAACTGCAATAATTACCTTGCAGGGTTAACTCCACCTCTAGTGGCTGTCTTCTAGACAGCCACTAGAGGGCACTTCCTGAATCATAGCACAGGAAACCTGTGCTAGAGCGTCGCAGGACGTCCTCACGCTATGTGAGGACCTCCAGCGTCGCTCATTTTCCCATAGGAAAGCATTGAAATGCATTTTCAATGCTTTCCTATGGGGAGTGCCCACCCGCCGGCGCAATGCAGATGAGGAGCGGCGGCGGAGTAAGAAGCAGCCTCTGGTAAGTTACTGAAGGGGTTGTCACCCCCTCAGCAACCGGGGGATGGGAGGGAGAGGGGACCTGCAGTGCCAGGAAAACAGTGTTTTCCTGGCACTGGAGTTTCCCTTTAATAAATATACTTCAATACCATTATGGGCAAGGAGTAGCACAGAAGGTGCTATTGAATTCTCTGTTTGACTGTTTAAGCTATTCCCCTTTGCAGTGTTAAACTTCATGAAACAGGAATCGCCTAAAAGGTATTAACTCTATGAAATGACGCTGGACCTGTGAGCAATCAGGGGGTTGAAATTCCCATAGGAAAGCCTAATGTATGCGTGGTGTGTGCATTCCCCTTCTGGACTTACGTTTGAGGAGGCAGAGACTGAGCCAGTTTGTGTGGGTCTCCTTCCCACTCTCCACCCTCCCGCCATTCTCTCTTTTCTTAACTGCCACAAATGATTGGGGGGGCATGGCGTGCACATGGACACTAGTGTTTTGTGTTCCAAACACTATGGTGTTAATTTATAACTCATAAAAACTAAATATTCTGCCATGGTGACCGTCAAAGCCAATAGGGAGTTTATCTAAAGCAGTGTTAGTAGGACTTGCTTGTATGGTCAGGGGCATTAAAAGGCCACTCTTCAACAAAGAAGGTTGTGCTTGTGGGAGAGCTGCTTATGTACTGAGTGGTTATACTACTTATAACAAACATATGATTACTGTGTCAAACTAAATGTCCCATCTACCCATGTGTTTTATTCAACTACTTTAAAACTGAGTAGCCCATTCTTCTCTAGAAATTCAGGCGATGTAGCGGTTTTTCTTTACATTTTCTTAGCTTTGTTCTAGTTCTCGCCTCTTCTTTTCAATTCCCCTTCTGTTTTACAGCCTCCTATCTAATTCTCTATACTGACATTTGTCATGCTCTGCACCCCTTAAGTTTTAATTTCGCCATCGTGCATCATCATCCCCAATCTACTCTCTTGCAAAGATTTTGTTTAATTTTTATTTCAATATTGTGCCAAAACGTGTATACGGAGGGAAACGAAGGTCCGCAGTAAAGAAATGCAACTAGCAGACTGCCTACCAGCACACTGAAGCATGACCACAGTACAAGTAATGCAAATCTTTTACATTCGCCCCAATTGCCACACACTTTCTTTTCTTAACTATTCGATTTTCTTGCTCATTTTACTCTTTGGTAGTTGGATTAACATTTAAGTATTGACTGGTGTAAATAGTGCTGTATGTAAAATCAAATCCATTGGAATTTCTGCTTTCAGGTCAATCAATGATTGGGGCACATTTCTGCACTTTCAGCATTTGTGTAATAGTGCTGTGCTTGTGCTCTCAAGCTTTCATTTCAAGATAGAAGTCTAGATTCAAAAATGCATAGCTGGGTTTTTTTTTTTTTTTTGTCCCTCCCTCAATGCTCTTAAACTTAAAGGGATACTATAGTCACCAGAAAAACTACTGCTTAATGTAGTTTTTCTGGTGAGTATATTAATTCCTTGCAGGCCTCTTCATGTAAACACTGCCTTTTCATAGAAAGGGCACTGCCGTTCAGTGTCTTCACGCTCTGCATGGAGACGCCGAACTTTCTTCATAGAGATGCATTTATTCAATGCATCTCTTTGAGGAGCTATTGAAATAAGGTGTTTTTTTTTTTAATTTTTTTTTTTTTTTCCTACCTTTTTTTTTTTTTTAAGGGGAGGCTGAGGCAAGCCTCCTAAATGGTGGTTTTAACGCTATAGGGTCAGGAATAGATGTTTGTGTTCCTAACCCTGTAGAGTTCCCTTGAAGTGTGCATTTATTTTTCTAAATATATCTTGAGCGCAAGTTCCACCTGATCAACACTAAAAATAGTGGTAAAGTTTTATGGTTTCTAAGAATTTTTGTCCAATAAAATGTTTCTGCTTTATCTCCTTTATGCTTTGGACTCTTGTATTTATCAATAGAAGATGAGAACTTTTAAAGGAAACACTATCCTAAGATCTGTTTAACCCCTTGGTGACCACATCGCTTTTCAATTTTCTTACCTTTTGGGTCCAGGGCTTTTACATTTCTGTGGTGTTTGTGTTTAGCTGTAATGTTCCTCTTACTTACTATACCTACTCATATCTTATACAGTTTTTCTTGACATAAATGGTATTTCTAAAGATACCATTACTTTCATATTATCATATAATTTACTATAAAAAATTGTAAATTTTTTAACGCACTTTTTCTAACTTTGACCCCCAAAATCTGTTTTGCATCTACAACCGCCAAAAAACACCCATGATAAAGTTTCTAAATCTTGTCCTGAGTTTAAATGCCAAATGTTAACAAGTAGCACTTTGCTATTTACAAACCATTTATTTATTTATTTATTCTTCACAATTAACGCAAGTTACATTGTAACACTGATATGTCAGGAATCCTTGAATAACCAGACAGACCCCAGCGCCGTGATTGCCTGCGGGGGATCGCAAGCAATCAGGTAAGTGGCGATTTAGTAAATGACGTACCAGGTACGTCCGCGGTCATTACCGACCGATTGTTGGCGGACGAACCTGGTACATCATTGGTCGGAAAGGGGTTAAAATAAAAAAAATTCTGAAAGTGTTTAGGGGGGTTGTATGATTAACAGCCTGGTGAGGTGTGGATAAGTTATATGGATTTATTTCTAAATGGTGAGGCTGCAGGGGAATGATCTATGCATCACAACCACTTCATTTAATCATTTTGAGTATTAATTGTATATGCTAAGTGCGTTCCATATTTAATGAAAATACTGTGGCCACCGTATGAAGTCAGGAAATTAATCGGTTGATGAAATTGATAAATTTAAGTTGACAGCGTATTAATCTATTTTTTTTTTTTTTCTCTAACAGGCAGATGATGACCAAGTTATGGGATTTCATCAAGTATTTCTACTAAAGAACATAAGTGATGCCTGGGTCTGCACAAATGATATGTTCCGGCTAGCACTACATAACTTTGGATGAACTAAAACTGAAAAAAACAAACTGTTCCTTTTACGCTTCTAATTTTTGTCTGGAAAAAGACACTTTCATAGCCACAGAACATTACAAATTTCATACACTGTTTATATAATATGAAGAAGCCATTATTGCACTTGGGTGAATTATAAGCCTGCTGCTGCATAAGTGTATTGGCAGTTTGGAATTTGTCTAACATTGGAAATTTGAGATGTGTATGATTTTTGGAAATGTTTTGAATTTGATGCCATGTATTAAGCATGCCTTTGGGCAAAATGTAAAGGATTGCTTTTTTTATGTAAAACAATTACTCTAGTAATCCAAAGAAATGGGCAATAAATGAGAGAGAAAAAAAGTATATGGTTTTATGGCTTCTGTGGTTTGAGATTCCCCCCATCTACAGTATATTTTTTTTTAATTGTATTTTTATATTCTTATATCACAGCATGAGTAATGCATGTCATAATACACGATAAGTGCAAATAGAAAATGAAATGATTACAAGCAAATATTTTGTCTCTGTATGTTCCATTTGCAAAGGTATGAGTTTTAAAACTAGTAATGCACACAGTTACCCACTAAGGGAAAAAAAACAACTATTTTTGGAGAGATCTATATAATGAAACCTTCAAACTGCTTAGATATGGTAGTGTAAAGCTCATCAAGGACACACTTTTGGCTATACCACCACCATGCATTTGCAGTCTTGTAAGCAACTGGGGAATTTTGTGTAGTGCCGTTATTGTTCTATCTTTTGAAAAGGGCTGTTAATAGGACATTAAGTGCATGTCTAAAAAAAAAAAAATTATGTGCCTGCAGTGGTGGGTATACTATATTCTGCTGCCATCTTTTAAAGGGACACTAGACACCCAGACCACCTAAGCTCATGGAAATGGTCTAGGTGCATATTCCCAGGTCCCTTAACCCTGAAATAGTAATTATTGCAGTTATTGAGAAAACTATAAATTGCTATCTAGGGTTAACTCAACCACTAGTGGCTGTCTACCAGACAGCCACTAGAGGGACTATTGGTTACCTAACTAACGCAGGACATACTCATGCTCTGCATGAGGATGTCCAGAGTCACCCGAAACCCCATATGAAAGAATTGTATAATGCTCTCATATGGGGGAATTACTAATGCGAGCACGGCCATTGCCGTGCATGCACATTAGGTCTCCCCCCGCCGGCTGACAGTTGGAGACAGTCCGAGTCGGAGCTGGATGCGGGTAAGTCATACAAGGGTTTTTAACCCCTTCACCACGGGAGGGAGAAGGGCACTATTGGGAGCTCTGGTGCCAGGAAAATGAAGCACTATAGTTTCCTTTTTAAGGGCAATAAATGAAGTTGCCTGAGAGAAGATCTACTTCTCCGAAGGGAGAAGGGAAGATAGCAGTGAACACCAGAGTTCACAAAAGGCTCCTAATACGCAACAGGAAAGCAGCTTTCTCTCCCAGTCATACTGTTACTGTTTATAAAGAAGAAAAATATGGGCCCCAACTAAATGCCAAAATATGTTTATTGATAAATTTAGACCTTTTTTAATGCCAGCAGATTAAAGAAATTAATTTCCAATAAATTTTCTCCTGACATGTTGACGATACACAAGTGGGATATGGCAAGGTGCCAGAAACCCAAAAAGAAGAGGGGGCAGGGGGTGGTAGATCAGAGAATCTGTTTACATTGAGGGTTAATCCAGCCTCTAGTGCATGGCTGTCCAACCTCCGGCCACCCAGATGTTGCTGAACTACAACTCCCATGATTCCCTTGCTGTCTGTTTAATTGAAAGGATCCTGGGAGTTGTAGTTCAGCAACATCTGTGGGGCCGCAGGTTTGACATCTCTGCTCTAGTGGCTGTCTCCCTGACAGCCACTACACCCTGTTCCAAGTTATTATGCAAATTCTGTTTAAGTGTCACAAAGATTAAATATTTTTTTATTAGTTTAACTCATGGGCTCTTTTGATCACTGAAAACAATCTGACACCTGTGATAATTAGACTGCCAGGTGAGCCCAATTTAAGGAAAAACTACTAAAGGCGGGTATTCCACATTATTAAGCAGAGCACCATTTTTATGCAGTATGGGGAATAAAAAAGATCTCTGCTGCCGAAAAGAGTGAAATAGTTCAATGCCTTGGACGAGGTATGAAAACACTATATATTTCACGAAAACGTAAGCGTGATCATTGCACTATTAAGAGATTTGTGGTTGATTCAGAGCATAGACAGGTTCGTGCAGATAAAGGCACATTGAGGAAGATTTCTGCCAGATCCATGCATCGGATCAAGAGAGCAGCTGCTAAAATACCATTACATAGCGGCAAACAAATATTTGAAGCTGCTGGTGCCTCTGGAGTCCCACGGACATCAAGGTGTAGAGTCCTCCAGAGTCTTGCAACTGTGCATAAACCTTCTATTCGGCCACCACTAACCAATGCTCACAAGCAGAAAAATACATCAAGACTAATTTTCAAACAGTCCTGTTAACTGGTGAGGGCCGTGCAACCCTGGATGGTCCAGATGGATGGAGTAGTGGATGGCCACCCAGTTCCAACAAGGCGGTGGAGTCATGTTTTGAGCCGGAATCGTGGGAAGAGAGCTGGTTGGCTCCTTTTAAGGTCCCCTGAAGGTGTAAAGATGACCTCTGTATGTGGAGTTTGACTGACCACTTTCTTCCCTGGTACAGAAGAAAGAACTATGCTTTCCGTAATAAAATCTTCATGCATGACAATGCACCATCTCATGCTGTAAAGAATACCTCTGCATCAATGGCTGTTATGGGGAATAATAGGAGAGAAAGTCATGGTGTGGCCTCCATTCTCCCCTGACCTCAATCCTATTGAGAACCTTTGGAGCATCCTCAAGCAAAAGATCTATGAGGGTGGGAGGCAGTTTACATCCAAACAGCAGCTCTGGGAGGCTATTCTGACATCTTGCAAACAAATTCAAGCAGAAACTGTCCAAAAACTCACAAGTTCAATGGATGCAAGACTTGTGAAGCTGCTATCAAATAAGGCAGGGGTTCTCAACCCAGTCCTCAGGACCCCCTACCAGTCCAGGATTTGGGGATTACCTGGGTGTGTCTCAGGTGTTTAGAAAAAGGGGGAAAAAAAACACCTTAGACACACCCAGGTAATCCCTAAACCCTGGACTGGTAGGGGGTCCTGAGAACTAACGTTGAGAACCCCTGAAATAAGGGGTCCTATGTTAAAATGTTGTTATAAGTTTGATTTGAAATAGCTTTTGATTTCAGTAAATATGCTGCAAACATTACAAATTTCAGTTCTTTACAACCTATAAAGTGTTTTGAAACTCACTGTGTGTAATAATTGTAGATTATGCTAACGTAGTGTACCTATAATCTTAATTTTAATGACCGTATTTTGCATGACTTTCTTTACGCATGCCTCCAGCAGCACAAGTCAATCATTAAACTTTTAACCAATCATAACAAACCACATATCCATATATAAAGCCGTGATCGTCACATGACTTCCTCTTTCTTTGGTGTGAGATTAGTCCATATAATGTCAGGGAATAAAACCAAAGTTCGTAATGATATAACAGTTCAAACTTGCTCCATGGGAGTCCCAACTTCAATTTAATCCAACTTTAAACGTATAACGAATATCGGAAGTGAAACTTGATCCGTAAGATCCAACATCCGGTGTGTCCCATCTGGAGCCAATAACGGCAATCACACTGAAAGAAACAGAAACGAGTGTAAGAGGATGGAGATAGACTTATTTCTACATGATATCAGTGATACTATATCTATCCATACTCTATACAAATAACCTATCTTTATATACTAGCATTAAACCATAATATCAATAAATACTCCTCTATTACCTCAAACATCCTATTCATATATCATCTAGATAAACTATACAAGTTATAATGGAGCAAGAGAAACGGTGACATCGGATAACCCATAGAAAACGGGAGGGAAAATACTCGCCTCCTGTCATTAAGATTATAGGTACACTACGTTAGCATAATCTACAATTTTATCACATGACAGGAGGCTTCCAATTTTGCATTTTTAAAGCTGAGGTAATAACGAGAAAGATGCGTGCGTGGTCTGACGAAAATAAAATAAGTATCTTCCCGTGTCCAGTCTACGGAATGTAGGATATTCGCTAGGGAAGTTCCCGCCGAGAACGCTCGCGAAGCGGGTCAGCCCCGAAACACTTCTCCACTCCTGCTAAGGATATGATCCAACGAACCCATCGAGCCAGAGTAGTAGTGGTAACCGGTTTGTAGGGTTTGGTGTACGACACCAGCAGTTGCCCTCTACTAAAAGCTCGAAGGTTTGCAGTAACCTCTACATATCGAGTAAGTGCGGAAACTACACATAAACGGAGGACCGTAGGGAAGAAAGGGTAAGATATTGATGTTGAATTTGTTTTAGTTCTATGAGACACCGTGAAGGTAACCCCTTCTGGTGAGATTGAGAACCCGTCCACGTCGAACACTCGCACGTCCGAAACCCGTCGAAAGGATACCAAACATAGAAGCAAAGTGAGTTTGGCCGACAACTGGCATAGAGACAAATCTGAGTTGTCTGGCCAATTCCTAAGGAAACGCAGGACCACCTCTACATCCCACATATGATTATACTTAGGTTCGGGTGGTCTGGACAATTTGATGCCTCGCAGCAGGCGACATACCAAAGGGTCCTGACCGACCGGAGAGCCTTGTACTGGCACGTGTGCCGCTGAAATCGCGGAGCGTGCCACATTGATGGAACGATAGGATCTTCCTTCCGTGAAGAGGTGGGACCAAAAATTTACCACCATGGTGATAGGTGCTGTAAAGGGATCACAATTCCTTCCCACACACCAGCGGTTCCATGAATTCCATGCTGATAGGTAACTCCGTCGGGTACCCAGTGCCCATGAATCCCATAAAAGGTCTTTAGCTGGTTGCGATAATCCCTCGACGGACCAGGCTCCCCTGAAAGACTCCAGACCACCAGCTCCAGATTCTCCTGTACCACTAGTGGGTGTGGTTCCCCTTTTGGGTCTGTCAGTAGGAAGGGGAACGATGGAAGAAGTAAGGGATGGTCTTGTGTTAGAGCTAATAACTCCGGAAACCACGCCTGACTTTTCCACAACGGTGTGATGAGAATCATCGAGATCTTGGTCGTTCTGATGCAATGGATTACTCTCGCTATCATCGAGAATGGTGGGAATGCGTACGCTCCCCTCGGGGGCCACTGTTGTAGAAAGGCATCTACCGCCTCGCATTGAGGGTCTGGAAGCCAGCTGTAATATCTTGGTAACTGTGTGTTCGTCCGAGACGCAAACAGGTCCATGACCAATGGGCCCCTTAGGGCCTTCACCACTGAAAATACTGATGTGTCCAGTCGCCAGTCGCTGCCGTTTCGCCAGTGTCGAGAAAACCATTCCGCCGTGAGGTTGTTGATTCCCGGTAAATATTCCACCTTGATCATAATGTTGCGGGGAATTCAGAATTGGTAGATGTCCTTCGTCGCCTCTGTCAAGACTCTTGATCGGGCTCCTCCCAGACGATTTATGTATTGGACCGCGGAAATGTTGTCCATGCGCAGAAGGATGCAGCAGTTCGCCATGTCCTTGGCTAGACTGCGAATTGCAAATGATCCCGCAATCAGTTCCAGACAGTTGATGTGTTCCTCTTGAGACCATGGACCTCCCGTGGATGCGTGGGTGCAGTGAACTCTCCAGCCCCAAAGGCTCGCGTCCGACTCCAATAGTCCGGGTTCGTCCTGAAAATGGCCTTGCTGTTCCAGGCTTCCATGTGAAGTAGCCACCATGGAAGTTCCGTCCGAGCTTCTGCGGAGACAGGAATCCAGTGATCGTATGTGTGTCCGGCTTGTAGGTATTGGGCTTTCAATCTCTGCATGGCCCGGTAGTGGAGCGGGCCTGGGAAAATCGCCTTTATTGATGAGGAAAGTAGGCCTACTATCCTCGCTAGTAATCGGAGATGTATGGTGTCTCTCCTGAGTATCCGTCGAATTTCCTTCCGAATGGCCGCGATCTTCGATGCGGGGAGGCGTAGTACGCAAGAGTTGGAGTCTATCTCGAACCCGAGGAACTGAACTATTCGGGATGGAGTCAACAATGATTTTTCTCTGTTCACTACAAACCCCAATGATTCCAGAAAGTGAATGGTAAATCTCTTCTGAGATCGAATTCTGGATTTGGAGTCGCAGAAGATCAACAAATCGTCCAGATACACGACACCGCATATTCCCCTTTCTCTCAGATGGGCCATGACTGGTTTGAGGAGTTTCGTAAAACACCATGGAGCCGGGCTGAGGCCGAATGGTAGACATGTGAATTGGCAGGGGTGGCGATAAGCCACAAATCCAATGAGTTCTCGTAAATTGATGACTGGACGGTAGTCTCCCCTCTTTTTCCTGACGACGAACATGTTGCTGAAGTAACCCTGGTCGTCTGTGGCGAATTCCACCGCTTCCTTTGCGAACAGAGTTCGTATCTCCATGTCTATGAGGTGTGTCTGGCTCTTTGACGCCCGGATAGGCGGTGGTCGCCTGGTCTGAACTGGCGATTACGTAAACTCTATCACGTACCCTCGCAACGGTCTGTAGGATCCATGCGTCTGTGGAGATGCGTTCCCACTCCTGTGGAAAAAGGGACAGTCTGCCAGCAGTTATATTGGAATGACATAACGGAAGACAGTTCATGCTCACCTGAGTTGAATCATCCCCGTCCTCTGCTCCGAGTGCCCCTTCTACGTAAGGATCCCCTTGTGAAGGTGGCTCTTGCAGATGGGAAGAACTGCTTTGTAGCATATGGACGACTGGTGCCGGATGGCCAGAAGCGGCTGGTGGCCCGACCCCTCTGCC